ATCGTGCCACTGAAAGATTCATCCAGGATAAGGTTTTATGATCAGAATAAAGTTCAGTAAGTCATACAAAGTTTAGTAATTATCCTTGCAAGGCAAAAATGCATCCAACTTGACTACTGGTTTGTCTTTGGTTCAGCTACATTTGACTGACCCTTCAAAAACTTCTAGCCGTGTAAACTGTTGATTTGCATAAATGTTTATGTTTCCGAACCGCTATTTGAAGTGTACAGGTCGTATGTCGTTTAGTATAAACGCGCCTGACCTATGTAAAGAAACTGTGTTGGACAAGAACAGAAATGGTAACGACTAGTCATGAGTCTGTTGGGATAAACCAGTTTTCATTGAAATATTTCAAACCGAGAGAGTCGTTGGCTAGGCTAAAGTAGTGGCAAGCACAAATGATTCAACAGGAGCCCTTTTACCAAAGATTATTTATTTATATGCTAGTTCTAGGAAAGAAACTAGTATATATATACCGTTACTTAATGCTAATGTGAAAACGTAATATATACGAGGATATTTGTAGAGAGAATAAAATGACAATTTACGGTTTAAGCATAACCAGAAATCTATGTGGATTCATTAATTTATAACAGACTGTTTTATTGTTAATACACCATTTCATAACCAGGTCAGATCTGAATGCTTTATGCGATTATCATACGTATCCTGTATTATCAGAAAGCACTTGATGCAAAGACTGTCAACGTTGGGAAAATAAAAAGCTTTGACATGAAATATTATTCCAAGCACCAATCAGCATTTCAAACCAAGCGGGAATAAAGATGAATTATTTTGATTAGTACACAGATTGATGTACGAACTTATCATTGTGTGAATTACTGAGACAATTTACATAGCCTGAAGTGTCAATGAAACAAGATAAAAGACGCACACACAGTCACCTGTATAATAAAATTGTAGATGGAACAAAACACCAGTAAATACAAATAATACTTAACACAATGGCGATATATTGGTTGTCCATAATTATCTGATATCAACCTGTTAAAATTCATGGTTCGTGCAAAGATTTCATAAGCAAGGTTATGGATTTTCTAGAGCCACTGCCTGATCCAATTACGAAAAAAGGAGAAAGGTTAGGTCAGTCAGTCAGTAACAACGTAGAACTTCGTACGTACGTACATCAGTTCGAGTTGCCACACCACATTAGCACAGAGATGCCGTGGTCGATTCAAATCCCGTAGTGGTAGAGGTAATAAGAGTATAAGCAGTAATCGGAAAGATTAGTGTTTAAAGATGTTACTTAAAGAGTATAATACAGTGAAATAAACTTGGGAAGAGAAAAAAGAGACAAGGGGGAATCAGGAGATCAAAATTTGGGAGAACACAAAGAGTGGATGCATCTGCGCCATTGCAAACGATTTTGAGCCATGTCATTCAAGGTCTCTAACCATCGGTTGCTATCATCTCGCGGTCCCCAACCAGGTCGGCAACCACATCCAGCAGAAAACAACCTTGATAAAAAACGTAAACCAAATTAAACAATTTAAACTACTTAAACTATGTCCTGGGAAGGGAGAATCATGAAGCCTCATGATGAAAGCCAAAGGTCTTCAGAAGTCACGAGACGATGACCCTTCTAACAACCAGAGCAAAAATTAACATAAATACGTGGAATGTCTAGACAATGTGGGAGACCGGGAAGACTGGTCAATTAGCAACGAAATGAGGAGATACAACTTGGCAATATTTGGAATCAGCGAAACACATTGGATACAAGCTGGACAATAAAAGATAGGTACGGGAGAGATGCTGCTGTACTCCGGTCACAAAGAGGAAAATGCTCTCCATACTCAGGGAGTTGTTCTGATGCTGTCCAAATAAGCACGAAATGCAATCATCGGATGGGAATCTCATGGACCTAGGATCATCAAAGCATCCTTCAAAACAAAGAAGGAGGGAATACACAATAAATGTTATGCACCCACCAATGATAGCAAGGATGATGATACAGATCAGTTCTATGGGAAGCTGCAATCGATCACAGCGAAATGTTTAGGAAAGGACCTGATCATCCTAATGGCAGACTTAAACGCCCAAGTCGGAATGGACAACAACTGTTATGAAGATATCATGGGAAAACATAGACTAGGAGGAAAGAACGAAAATCGAGAGAGATTTGTAAATCTATGTACATTCAACAGAATCGTTATAGGCCGCACAATATTCCCACACAAACGCATACACAAAGTTACATGGGCTTAACCGGACCACAACACAGAGAACAAAATAGATCATATTTGTATCAATAAAAAATTCCGAAAGACAGAGGAAGATGGAGGACAAGGAGAAAAACTAACATAGCTTGAGACCACCACCTGGTGGTTATCAAGATCAAACGAAAGCCAAAGCACACTGAACAGCTGGGGAAACAGCATAAAGTTCTAAATACCCTACACACAGATAGACAAGCTACGAGTCAGATTGCTTGCCAATATGAACACTAGAGATTTTTCGATTAACAACAGAAACCAAGAGGAGTCCCATAGAAATTAACTTTAATTACACGTCTGACAAAGTTTCGTCGCATTATTTTTATCATATTTACAGACTAAAACAAATTTGAATATACAGCTAACTGATTGGCAGTCACCTGATTGGTATCGATCGTGTTAATTCAAATGTAAGTTTCACGTACTGATTAGCATGCGACGGTTAGAAAAATCAGTTGAAAGTCGGTCACTCAGTGAACAGTTGTATATTTCACCGCTGCGATTTTCCGTCCTTATCATCAGTACAAATATTACAATTATGGCCCCGATCTTACTCACCACTATTGTTTTCGTTCTACTTTCGGTAATGAGAACAAGTATTCCGCTTATTGTGCGGAATATCATGTTGCCTATTTCCCTAAGTATTTTGATGACTACTGTTATCGCGAACTTATCATATATTGTGTTAATATTTCACTATATATTGTTACGATCATCATGTCTACGATTAGCTGCCTAGTATTTTAACTATCATGATGGAGGTTATAATAATTAGGATTATAGTTACCACAATAATATCTGATGCTTTGTTATCTGTTTTGTCGATTAATGTGGTGTGAGCTACTTATATCCACACAAGTAGTATATAACGATGTTCAAAAATGGAATGTAGTTCAGTAGAAGATCGAGGAAAAAACGGAAACAGAAAGCAATTGGTATGAAAATGTATGAACAATGAAATCTGAGACGATGGATTGATATTTGCAAACGTAGCAGTCAAGTTTGAGACAATTGATTGATATTTTTTCAAATTAACTTTACTCCATGGTTCTCATATTTTAGTGAAATGTTCTGTAATTTCGTGTTTAAATACATCTGATAGTCCCCACTTGTGTTCTCGTCCACTACATTGATGATACTGATTAGTATGATGTAAATGGACATAGTGATGCACTCACTCTCCTACTTTACAGTTTGTAAATCACAGATACATCTAGTGAGTATTGGTGCAGTTTTGGAACAGGTAAGTAGACCAGTATTTTGTGTTTCACGCAAATTTACTGTTGCTGAACAAGGTTATACACAAACGTAAATACAACTTTCTAATCACAACCTGGTGGTTGCCAAGTTGGAATTGAAGATAAAGAAGCATTTGAAAACTGGACAAACAGCAATACAAAGGTTCAATACAGGCTTCCATCGACATCCTGACAAACTCAAACAATTCATTATAACTATCAACAACAGGTTCCAATCCTTACGTGCTATACGGGGAGAAGAATAAATCACCATAAAGGACAATTCGAAAGGGGTCAAAGAAGCTCTAACCTCAACGTGTCAGGTTCTGGGTCGCAACGAGCATCGTCATAAAAAATGGATCTTCATCAAAACCCTGTACAAGATTCAAGAAATAAAGAACAAAAGAACGGCGATTTACAACAGCCAAACAAGAACAGAGAAAGTCAAGGCACAAGCTGAATACGCAGAAGCAACAGGCAAGTAAGGAGAAGTATTAGAATTGACAGGCATAAATACGTGGAAGAGCTAGAACAACAGCGGGAAAAGCTGCAAGAAAAGGAAATAAGAGACATTTATATGACACAAGGAAGAAAATAGCAGGGAAATATAGTAAGCCAGAGAGACCGGTCAAGGAAAAGAAGGCAAGCCAATCACTGAAATTCATGGACAGAGAGACAGATGGTCAGAACACATCGAGGAACTCTTGAATAGACCAGCTCCATGAATCCACCGAACATCGAAGCAGCACACACAGACCTTCGTATAGATGTCACTCCACCAACGATGGAATAAATCAGGATGGCTATCAGAAAAATCAAGAGCGGGAAAGCAGAAGGACCAGACAATATACTAACTGAAGTCAGACATAGAGGTAATTGTAAAGGTGTTCCATGCCCTACTCAGGAATATTTGGAAGGAAGAACAAGTGTCGACAGACTGGAAAGAAGGATACTTCATCAAGGCACCAAAGAAAGGAGATCTAAGCAGATATTAGAACTACAGATGCATCCCAGTACTATCGGTACCAAGAAACGTTTTCAACTGAGTGTTACCGAACTGGATGAACGATTCAGTAGACGTCCAGCTTCAAGATCAACAGGTTGGATCCTATAAGGACACGTCGTGTACAGACGAAACCAAAACACTACTGATCATCGTCTGTCCCTTCGTGCCGTACTATGCCTGTAGCATATCTCATAGGGTCTTCCAAAATATATATCCTACGATGGGATATACGTATGAATCAGCTGTAGTCACGTAGCCGATTACGGGGAAAAAGTATGAGCAAAAAACATTTCGCAAGCTGGAGTTACTTCGGTGGTTTAATTATGATGACATATTTGCTAGTTTCGTACTAGTGAAGGTTACATTGCCAAAACCAGTTAAATCTCAAAAACAGAAAGTACAGTTTCATAACTACAACTTTGTGAGAAGTGACCAGACTTACAAAAGAGGACCGAAAACTGTTCAGCTCTAGTGCCTAATAGGTTTAGGTTTGTCTATAATAAGCTACAAGACATTATTATGAACGGTTTATCGGAAAACTCTCAAGACAATAACATTTTAATAAAATGCAATATTAATAAAAATCAATTGAAGTTAGTTGCAAGAAAAAGTTAATCTCTTGGAGAAAATGCTATTCAGATAAAGAATTTTCTTCAAGTGCTTTTCTAACTTTGTTTTCAATACGACGAGCTGCACTTTGAACTTCTTCGCGCAGTATGTTTATATGCATCTGCCAGGTACGACTAGCAGACTCCTTAGTTTTGAAATATGACTAAAAGAGAAAAAAGATATATGACAAACTCCCCAGTATATTCAAAAATAAAGTATTATTAAAACTCACAAATAGTAAGTACATTAAGAGCGCATAGAAGTTACTTACATCAATAAATAGGTATTTTATTTACAGTATATGCAATACACCAAAGGATTGAGCTACTACATCTTTCGACGTCAAAGGTGTTAACTGCCATAAATACTTTCAAAAGACAGACAATAAATGTTGACTAGTGAATGTTCGAAAGTCCTTGGTTTGTAATTCAGTTATTACATTAAACCATTCTTTTTATATATACTAGATGTAGTTCCGAAAATGCAAGAGGGTATGAAGAAAATTATACGATGACAAAATGAAAAATCGATAAGGCCGCAGAAGGGTCGAGCAATGGAGACAAACATGAGAAGAATGAACAACTGGATAGAACTAGAAAGGAAGGCCCAGGACAGATTGGGTTGAAGAACGTTAGTCGTCGGTCTATACTCCATTGGAGGTAACAGGCGTAAGTAAGCAAGCAGAAGGGCCTGACTTTAGGGATGTTTTCAATAGTCAAAACAGAGATAAACCATAGATGTTGCAAAATAAAAGCTTTATGATCTCAAGTCTTGTATTGATTATACTGACCGAGTTCAATAGAATACAGTAAACGAAATGCGCATAGTAGCTGATGAATAAAATTGGAAAAAAACGAAGCAGAAAATTGTCCTAAAATATTTTTAAAACGTTGTTTCTCTTTGTGAGAAAGAGTATAACACATAAAACTTACATGTGATAAGATAGAAAAACCAACATATAGTTGGAAAATTGTCACTGAATGCCTTCTGAAATGAACTCAATAATCCAAGCGATCACCAGCTGTTACTCAAATGTTATAGCGCTAATGCTCGGAACTACCACACTGAACAACAGTTTAGTAATGAAGAGCACTTGAATCTTCAGATATTCACAAGATCTGAGTCTACATTTCTTATTGGAACTTAGATTTTATGATTAAAATTCCTAACAATAAAGAGATGTTCAAATATAATAACTCAATTAAGAACCAAGTAAACACTGACTATATACGCTAGCCGACCGATCACTTCGTCTAACCAAATAAAATACCATCTTAATTCCCTTGAAGTTATATCCAAATTGAAAAAAGTGTTACGCGAAATAGTGGTACATCTCCATATACATTTTTACTATACTACGGTTCGCGTCATAGGATAAGAAATAGTGCTTACGACTGAGTGTACTAAGTGCTTAATAAAGAAGGCCTCAGAAATGTATCACATCTTAAAAACCACCGTTCTAAATTTCAAAATCAATGTAATACAAGTTTAAGGGGTGCAATGTCACAATTTATTTCGGTTTAGAAAAAGTGGATATAATATTTATATCGACACAAACGTTTACATACGAAATGAGACGAAAATGTTGATAAACATAACTTAATAATCAAGTGTACTGAGTATCAAACGGCATTTTTGTATGAGAACATTGAATATATCATTTGGATGGCAAAACTGAAGTAGATACATCAGCATCTGAACCATAACTACAAAGTTGCATTGCATATAAAAAGATTTCTACGGTTAATACTTTAAAATTACCTCAATGTAAGGAACAAACACCGATAATTGTTGACTAATATTTTCAATATAAGAGGTGATTTTAACTCTTTCTTGAATTATTTCTTCAAGTTTACCCTACAAAAACAAATAATACTTCATTTTACAAAATAATCATCAGTAGTAATATCGATAATGCACGTAAAAGTTAATCGACGGAACTATCCTATCCTTTTAATAACCAAAATAGGTCAGTATTAAGCAAAGCAAATAAATTTAAATAACCTAAAACAGTAAGTGAACTGGTAGATGAATAAAAAAGCACAACATATTACACGCTTAAAGTGAATAAATTATTCAGAGCTTAGCTGGACAAAAACTTCATCTACGGAAATAGGACAATCGACTTTTTGTAAATAAATATGTACAGAACTGCAAAGTACATGAAGTGTCAACAGTGAAAGAAATTCGCCGGGTTTCAAGCTAATAGTTTCGAGATGAAGTTTACTACTTACTTTTAGTGAGAATCTCCTTAAGAAAATTTAAACCATCTTTCACAACGTCATATATGGAGATCTTATAAAAACCTGTAATGAAGATAATTACAAGCTGATTTCATATGGGTTGATTTTTAAAACCCTATCAGCTCAATATTTAGAAAGAAAATATTTGAATTAGACATATTTCCTAGCTATTTTCTACATTGAGGGATTAAACAAAACATTCCTAATATAACTAACAGGCGTAGTTGGCACAATTGTTGTCGACAGATCAAAAGAGTATACCAAATATCATTCAAATCTAAAACACATTGAATTCAGTACATTTTGTAGGATTAACTGAAGATTGAAATCAGTTGTTATGATTTGGAACTTCGATGCTGTTTAAGGCACTTTTTACACTACACGTAAAGTAGGACGTCTTCTAAACTCACTGAGAAATTTTGTTTAACTTTAGTTTCTAGCTTTAATCTCACGTAATTTTTTCCAGTAATCTGATTATCTAATTTGCATTCCCTCAGTTTTATTAACTACATATTATTAATAACACACAAAAAATTTGTATTCAGATTTGATTGCAGTTCCTATCCTTATTATTATGTAACTAGTTGTGATCACCAAAAGATTATGAAATCCACTAAAATGACGGAGAATATTTATAGATAAGGATGAGGTTATTGACGGTATGTTCAAAACTTTGAGCTAGATGGTTGAGTCGTGAAGCTTTAAGTGCTTTTCTAGGGAACACCATTATCAGCACATAGTTCAGAAAGAAGAGAGTTACTAAGATCACACCATAGTTCACTAACAACCAGTTCTGTTGAAATACATCATAAATGATTTTTTGTCCATAATTGAGTGAATGTTGTTTCGATCCTTGATTGAAACAGCAACAACCGATCGACTACTATATTAAGCTGTATTAAGACCCAGTTAAGTACATATACTACACAGAGAAATGGAAAGAGATATCTAATAGACTTATTGTAGAAAGTAGCCACCCAGAAGATTTCACCATGGAATGGTGATCTAACGTCTCACCATGTATTAAATCAACAGAAAAAATTGACAGGTGGATAGTATATGTTTTCAGAGTTTCCCACCATCAAAACAAACATACAAACAACAGCCGAAGTATCACGAAAAATAACAACGACCCATCGAATTCCATCCAGATCAACAAAACAAGCTATTACTCAGTTGGGAGGAAATCCCAATTAGTTGGCATTTTTTGTGAAATATGCGCTGCTACTGATGTCTTCTAGAAAGATAATGAAAGCTTCACACAACTAAATCATCCAGGTGCCTCAGGGAACAAAACACAAGTGAAAATAATTTATCTATTATAAAATTCAAAATTCGTTAATTAAAATTAGAAGGTATCACAAGTGATTTTTTCATGCTGTGTTGTCGCTAGAATCTGATATAGATATACAAGCTTCCTACACACGAATTCAAACCAGCTAACTGAGCGAGAAAACCAAGAGTAAGAAGCTTTTATTGACAAAACCTAATTGAGAATTTATGCGCAACGCATAAATACTTATCATTTCCTCTTAAAAAGTTATATTTCTTCCCTCTTTCTTTAGAAAGTAAAATCTTCACGAATAGTGTCCATCTGTTGTTGGTTTATGCGTCATTAACACCGTGTTTCAGGATTTTAGTTAAATACGCAAATATAAGCATTTTAAGCAAAGATGGATAGTGGCTAGCAGTGGAACCCAGGACACACGTTTCGTCCTATTTGGTACTCGTCAGCTGGATGTACCTGCATCTCAAAGTTGATGTTCACTCTGGGACTCGAAATCAGTACCGTTCGCTTCAAACGCCATCGCGTTATCCACTTAGCTACTGAGTCCTGATAGCCACTTGCTTGTGCAATGGGGTGAAGTTTAATTCACTTGATATTGTTTAACTTGAATCTTCCCATTGATGTTTTAGGACTGAAATTGATCAATCTCTTATTGGCATATGTGCATACTAGTAGCTAAGTGGATAACGCGATGGCGTTTGAAGCGAACGGTACTGAGTTCGAGTCCCAGAGTGAACACCAACTCTAAGGTGCAGTCCCAAACAGGACGAAACGCGCGTCCTGGATTCCACTGCTAGCCACTATCCATCTTTGCTTATAATGCTTGTAAATTAAGTCAATATTGAGGCATACTCACAGTATGCACATATGCCAATAAGAGACTGATCAATTTCAGTCCTAAAACATCAATGGGAAGATTCAAGTAAAACAATATCAAGTGAATAAGCATTTCAAGGTTACAAGGAAAAACTAGAACACCGCAGTCAGCATATTTTATAGATACAGTAAACTCATATTTAATAAAAATGAACTGACAGTTCTAGTGAAAAACCATGTCCAGTGGAGTTTAACTATGTCAAGTGTGAAACAGTCACCCACCAGTAACATTAGACGTAGTTGCACAATATCATGAATTCACTGGAGTTAGACAAGTAAACTATTGGATACCGGCTCCGTAGTTTAGATGTCAGGACCAAGTCACGAGACCTCGAGCTTGAGTTTAAACTATCATGAGATTGTGAATGCATACCGTTGAGAGGTCCCTTACTTAGACGAAAGAGTGTTCAATGATCTCCAGTTTTAAGCGGTTATCCATATAGGGTTAAATCCATTACATAATCTATAAAAATTAACGTAGGTGTCATCAAGTAAAGTTACAAGTACACAACATACGCTTAACTCCGTCTGACGTTGTTCATCATCAGTTAACTGTTTTTTTAACTGTTCTAATTCTTTGGCTCTGTGAGAACATAAATTAACATATTCTTCTTCTGCTTTTGCATGCGCACTGTATTCCTCCGCCAAAAGTTCATCTAGTTTAGCCAAATCTACTTTTACTTCATCCAGTTTAGCTTGTACACCTGGCAATTCCTGATAAGTGAAAAATAATATTCAAACAAAAATCTGTTAATGATTGCCAATGTAAATAAATTTTAATACATATGTTTATTATTATTAATGTGCTGAAGAAAAAACTCTTCTCAAGTGAATCAGAAATTTCTGTGAGGGCAATGAAGGAGGAAAGGCTAAAATGACCGTCAACCTTTTGCGTTGATGAAAATATAGAATACACGCGGTTTTTTATGACTGAAATTCGTTGACTCACTGCCGATAGAACAATTTTCGGAAAATAATCGGTGCATACGATTTTTCTGGTACACAAAACGAGACTATTGAAGGGCCCAGATTCCGGGGACTTTCAGAAATATTTCGAACAATGAAAACAAAGATGAAGAGCACTCGAAAACGAATATAATTGAGGTAGTTTAAAATTCGCAAAATATTTACAAAACTTACTGAACTATCGATTGACGATTGAAGAGTTTCGAGACGTTCAACCAATTCACTTAGTCGTTGTTCTTTAGAAGTCAAAGCCAAAGTCAACTGTTCAACACAAGCCTTCACATTTTGAACTAGCAATGGTAATTGCTTAGCAATATCAAATCCTTTGCGATATGTGCAAACTTCCAAATTACAGTTTTTTGTGATCTGTGAAAACGGTGGTTTCTGTAAAGGATCAATAAGTGTATAGGATTTACGACAGATGCATTGGAAACTAATAAGTCCAATGACAAAAAATTAACGATATTGTGGTTATAATTATACATAAAGTAGAACCTGGTACATTCGTTCAAGTTAACAGACCACTTCAGAACGAGTTAAAATTATTATGATAAATAGCAGCAGTGTTAGTGGGAAACGAGGATATTTATGCAGAAAAACAAGAAACATCTGCTTCCTTCTAAGAAGGACTCCTCGGCAATGTGGGTCTACGATCCCACTAGTGATTAAATCCACAGTAGGACGAAAAGGCTGTTCAGTGTCTTCTGGTTTTGAAAGTTATCGAACTAAGGTCAGACTGTATTATGAACTGTGAAATTCAATAATTTTGACAAACCAACATATTAAGAAGATTATTATCAAATTGCGCGTACAAAAATAAGATGTGGAATCATCGCTTAGGCATAAAGTAACAACAAACCCGTTGAAAAAGCAACGGTTACTAGGCACTGAAATATCGCTAAACATATAAGACCAGAGTGAATATACAACATAAAATCATCATCCTCACATACAAATATCAATCTAGAAACTGACAGTAAAATGGGTACCAGGAACGAATACAAAACGATCATACAATTAAATTAAAATAAAATTGGTAGACATCACAGAAACTAGTAAGTCACGAAACAATAAAGAATAATAATAATAATCACACAGCTCTACGATAAAAGATGCCATTGTTAATTTATTTAAGCTACTAAAAGATTACGTACACTGATAGCTCAACTGAATATCAAAAATTACATGAATGAATATTTCTCCGATAGATTTATGCTGTAATCTATTCGCTACATTATCAAAGTGCCTTAACTATTTAATCTTTACACACCGCTCTCAGATGAAATAAGTTGGAGTGGTAGGTACTGTCTTTCTAGAACATATGCATACTTTTTTTAACAATAAATAAATAAGTACATACCCTTAATGATCCGACAAGACGATTATAAGCGTCCAAAGTAGGGGCAATGGTGCCTTCTGAACGTGTATAATCCAATTCTTTTTGTTCAACTTCTTTAATTAAATCATCTTTAGCATGCAATCGAGCATCGACACGTTCCCGAAGCATAATATATTCTTGAGCTAGTCGTCCATAACTAGAAAGAAAAAAATAATTTAGGAGAAAAACTGGACAAATAGGAAATACAACAACACTTGGTTTTTCATCCGTATTACTTTGGATACTTGTGTAATAAAATTTATGCTTATATTTTAATGGTTAAGTTCTATGTCGTTTCTCTTTCACTATTTAAAAAATTTTGTGTTGAAAATTAGTGAAGAAAGGTGAAATTAGTTTAATACATATTGTTAGTAATTGAAACGCTTAGTTTTTAATTAGTAAGTGAGTTCTACAAAACCACAACAATTATTTCAGTTTGGGTATCCTGTTATTATTACTGCCACCGCACAAAAACACTGAGACTCAAAGACAAGTACATTAACTAGTACTAGGTTAACAAGTTCATCAGAGATATTGACATTTGTAAACAGTGATTAAATACATGTATTTAACGAGCCTGATAATTGTCATAAGAAATTTACTATGATATTTCAACTACGAGTTATGCATATTAACTGAGTGAATCTGATGAAGTTAGCTTTCAGTACAGCAATAAAACATTTTAATACCTCAATTAATTCATAATATAACATACCTAAAAATATTAGTGTCTGTGGTAAACACTTCGTCGTTCTTAAATAGATTGAAGTGTGAACGATTGCAATGGGACTCAACAGAATGATAGTTGAAATTTTAAAATTCAACCATTTATGTTTTCGTGGATACGGACTGCTAATTAATTTTAAACGATAATCAAACACTTGTTTAAAGCTTTTTGAATTTCATTCGTTCCGCGATTAGTCAGACATGATGAACATAGAGCCTAGGACAAACGTGTTCCGACCCACGAAGTTATCATAAGATATAAGCAGTCAGTCAGCAACAACGTAGGAACAGGCACATATATGCATCGATCCAAGTTGCCATACCTCATTACCACAACACCGGATTCATAGGAGTAGTTAAGTCAATGGTGGTAATATATGAAAGAAAGATTGCATATAAGGATATAGTACAGGAGGAAAGAATTAGTTCGTACAAAGAAAGATATGGAGTGATTTTATTCTCTTAGTTTAAAGGAAGACAGAGAGTGTATACACCGACGCCATTGTGATCGATTCTCAGCCATGTCACTCACAGTCACCAACCATTTGTCACAATAGTCGTGTGGACCAAGTAGTCTGCATCTATCTATCAACATTACTAGGACTAGGAGTTAGTGACTTCAAAGACTGATGCCACGTTTTGGTTTGACCGCCCATAACTTTCTTCCAACCGTGTCCAACACTAGTCAGCAGCATTTCGCGTCGTGGTAATCGGTGTTCAGGCATACGTAACACGTGGCCCAACCATCTCAGTCGATGAAGATTCACAACCTCATCAACTGATTTACCATCATTCCCTAATACTCTGTGTCCAACCTCACTATTACTTACCCGGTGATCCCAGCAGACGCCAGCAACATTTCTAAGGCATCTGTGGTCAAATACTAGTAGCTTATGAATATCTTCTACTCTTAATGGCCATGTTTCGCTGCTGTAAATTAAAACAGAACGGACTGCCGCGTAGTATACTCGTCCTTTTATGGATAGACGGACAGTCCTGAAGCAACAACTTGCATTTAGAGGGAGAGAAGTGCATTCCAAACATTCTGGCATTGTTGCTTAGTGCTACCAGAAGACTGCATTGTATCAGCGTCTTCACCAAACAGGACTATGTCATCTGCGTATTCTAAGTCGATAATTGGATCTTCTGGAAGAAGATCAATACCCGAGAATTCAGTCGACGAGAATGTTATTTCCATCAGTAGGTCTGTGATGAAGTTAAACAAGATATTAGCAAAAGATAAATAACAAAAAAATGATCGAAATAATGTACTTGCAATAGTAATGAGAAAGAAGAATTGAAAATATAGTTCGAAACGACAGGATGAAGAGCTACCTATGAAGAAATACTGCAATTTAAGATCAATGAACGTTCTTCGTTCATGATCAAAACTTAACATAAAGGAATACGATAATAAGATAACTAGTGAGAAAAATAAATGTGAATAACAGTTTGACATCTTGTAACTGGTAGTAAAATAAGTAGTAACTATTTATATGGTTTAAAATAATCACTTTAAAAAGTTAAGTCGAATGATTTTTATTTTATAGGCCCTGGTACGGCCGAGAGTGGGGAGAGTCCGCTCTCCCTCTCGAAATACTCTCACACGGCCACGCGTATATAGCCTCTGCCAGGGAAGTCCTACTCACTGCCTTCTCGTGGCGGGGGTGTTGTTTACGAAAATGAGAGGACGAAAAGCGAATGTCCGGCGCTTTAACCGGATTCCAAACCAATGGTGCACATGGGCTCCAGTATCCTGCGGGAACAAATGGCGAATGAACCAATTGTTGGTCACCGGCTTCCATGGGACTGCATCTCCTTACGATGCTCCACTGCCTTGTGGATCAGACCTTTGGGTTGAAGGCTCGGGGTGTGGCCCCCTAAGAAAACCACCTGCTTCGGTTTGGGCACCCGGGCAGTATCACAGCCCTCACACATATCGGATGAGATTTGTGTGGCGCATATGTATTTGGTGCCTCTTTGTACCATTATCTATGTGTTGAAATAAATAAATAAAATAATAAAAGATGGATACAAGTATGATTGGTAAATTTAACAAAATTAACGAGTGGTTAGTCTCAAAAACAATAGAAATAGTCCAATATTCTAGACGCAAATATTATGTAGTCTGCTATGGAGACTTAGTGGTTTCAACACTTAACGTCAAAATAACTGGGCGACAGTCTGTAATATTGTACTACTTATTTCAATTTGTAGGCAGTGAGTGGGCAGAAGTTGGGAGTTGAATGTAGACACTTCTACTCAGTAGATAAAACATAAACAATATATTTATTGAGAAAAGAAAACATACCCAGCATCTTCTTGTTCCTTTACTTTTGCACGTACTGCAGCCAACTGTTGTTCTGCTTCTTTGTTTTTTAATTCAAGTTCCTTTAAAACTTCTGTGCGCTCTTCGTCTAAAGACTATCGAAAATCATATCTTCTATTACATACATAAATATTTTGTTAATTGCCGCACATTTAACACGAAATTATAGTATAGTCAAAATACAGAGATGAGTTGAAAATGTACTTTCTACCTAATAACAGAACTACGTATCGATATAGTAAAATATGACTAATACAAACCAAAAACCAAGGGTCTATCAATGGATTAAATAATGAACCATATCTTTCAAATGAGAGCTAAAGATATAACATTTTGTTGGTAGGTCACTCATTTGATTAAGGCATATTTTATGCAGGGATTGCGCTAATTGGCTTAAAAATGAGCAAATCAGAGGTAATAAATAGGCAAAGAGTAGAGCCTTTCGGTGTATACATACTTACGCCTGTTACTCCTCGTGAAGGAGCATAGGCCGCTCACCAGCATTCTCCATCCAACCCTGTCCTGGGCAATCCTTTCTAGCTCCGTCCAGTTGTAATTCATCGTTTTCATATCTGCTTCTATTATCCGACGCAATGTGTTCTTTGGCCTTCCTCTTTTTCGCTTCCCTTCAGGATTCCAAGTTAGGGCTTGCCTCGTGATGCAGTTTGACGATTTGCGTAATGTATGTCCTATCCATTTCCATCGTCTTTTCCTAATTTCTTCTTCAGCTGGAAGTTGGTTTGTTCTCTCCCACAGAAGGCTATTGCTGATGGTATCCGGCCAATGGATGTTGAGTATCTTGCGTAGACAGCTATTTATAAATACTTGTACTTTCTTGATTGTGGTTGTTGTAGTTCTCCAAGTTTCAGCTCCATACAGTAGAACCGCCTTGACGTTGGTATTGAAGATTCTCACTTTGATATTGGTTGAAAGTTGTTTTGAGTTCCATATGTTCTTTAACTGTAGGAATGCTGTCCTTGCTTTGCCAATCCTCGCCTTTACGTCTGCATCGGATCCTCTTTGCTCACCGATGATGCTTCCTAGGTATGTGAAGGACTCTACATTTTCCAGAGTTTCGCCATCAAGAGAGATTGGATTGTTGTTTTCCGCTTTGAATTTGAGGACTTTGGTTTTCCCTTTGTGTATGCTGAGGCCTACTGATGCAGAGACTGCTGCTACACTGTCTGTCTTCATCTGCATCTGTTCGTGTGTACGTGATAGGAGTGCTAGGTCATCTGCGAAGTCCAAATCATCTAATTGATTTCGAGCTGTCCATTGAATTCCGTGTTTTCCTTCAGATGTCGAGGTCTTCATAATCCAGTCGACCACCAGAAGAAAGAGGAAGGGAGAGAGTAAACAGACTTGTCTGACTCCGGTCCTTACTTGGAATGCATCTGTCAGCTGTCCTCCATGCACGACTTTGCACTGTAGTCCGTCGTATGAGTTCCGGATAATGTTGACAATCGTCTCAGGAACTCCGTAGTGTCGAAGAAGTTTCCATAATGTCCTCCTATCTACACTGTCGAATGCTTTTTCATAATCAATGAAGTTGATGTATAGTGATGAGTTCCACTCAACTGATTGTTCGACGATGATCCGTAGTGTTGCAATTTGGTCTGTGCATGATCGATCCTTACGGAATCCAGCTTGTTGATCTCGAAGTTGGGCGTCTAATGCATCTTTCATCCGGTTAAGCAAAACTCTGTTAAAGACCTATCCTGGTATTTACAGTAGTGTAATGCCTCTATAGTTCTCACATTTGCTTTCGGTGTATAAACAATAAATATACTGGGATTTTCCTGACTGCAACTTCGATTTGGTTAACTCGCTTCCTTGTTTAGGAACATAGTACGTTTTTGTCCAAGAAGTGTACTGATTCTGGAGAATAGTCGGATGGAGTAGTGTCCGAAGAATACTAAGCAATGAAAGTAACTTGGTCGGATTAGCAAGAGTTAACATCTTGTTGTTCAAAAAATTCAGAAATAGAGAGCAGTATTTGGTACGGTGGATAACCATACTTGATCAAATGTCTAAACCACTTACTCAGTCATATTACTATGTTGATTTTAAGTGTAGTAATTTGTGAGTAAAAACGATTGCACGATAACCAACAATACAATCAAACAGTTCAGGTAGAATTGGACATCGTGGATCGAAAGCAGAGACTCAATAGGTAATAGACTAATGTCGATATCACTAAGTCACAAACCTATTATGACCTGAACGGATTTTCATAACTTCTAGTATGACATTTGTCACCAAGTAGTACTGAAAACGTAAGTAAATCATGCTACGAAATAAACCATTTAAATTTATGAGTATTTGAAAGATGAGAAATGGTTTGATAATACTATTAAGTAATCTTTTAGGTATCATATTACTATAGACACACAGCGTATATAAGAATGGATTTTACTCAAACATTGTGGTTTCTGTACGAAGAGTTAACTGGAACATTCTGATCAAACGCTGTTGTTAAAATCTTGATCTTGGAGACAGAATCCAAAATAAGGACTAGATAAGCATGACTTTGGTTACTAATAAGTGCTCCATCTATGTAAATATCAGTAACAGTTCGAGTATCTTGGAGGTAACGTCTGAGACAGTGAAGCTAGGTGATCCTGCTAGTAGTAGGTGTCAGTTGGAGGAGCGTAAATAGGCAGAGAATTTTAGAAACAGAGACCCAATAACTGAAAGTCAAGTGTTATGCCTATGAGGTCAACTTTCCAAGTGATAAGAACTGACTAGGTACCTTGTAAGGAACAAGTAACATATAACAGCACTTTTAAGGAAAATAAAAATATACCTTTAACTTAGCTATCTGAGATTCGTGGTCGCGCAAGTTTTCGTCTAGTGATTTTAAACTGGATTCCGTTTCAGCTAATTGAGTTCTTAATGATCTTTCTTCTCCGTCTACATTATTTATACTATTCATTTCTTTATCCACTTCATTCAGACGATCATAAAGTTTCTTCATATCATCTTCACTTGGAGCGTTCAATACTCTGTTGATACGACAACGGTAATCCTCAATGCAAAAACAAAAAGCCATTCTTTCGAAAATAAGTACCATTTTCTCAGAAAAGTGGGGGTAAGAATGCATTTAAAATTTATTTTATTTACCTTGGATGGAATACAGGTTATAACATAAATATTCAGTCTCAGGTTGCAAAAGAAGAGAATTTCCATACAAAAACTTGAATCCTAAAATCTAACTTTGTGCATTAAGTAAAGACGGTATATTCGTTTATAAGGTTGTGAGATGATATTAACCAAGAGTGGAACCACGCCCATTCATCAACCATCTAGACGCATAATGTTAGCCAGAGTGGGAGTAGATCGGGAATGAATAAGAGTGGTCAGACAAAGAAACAGGATCAACCCATGAATTCATTATTAACTGGAGGGAGTGTAAAGCTTTGGATCCAATCGATTATTGCAGTCAACGGTAAGTCTTTAGGCAACACAAATCCGAATCACTCACAGTGATACAGCTGCACAATTGTTTCTCCGTGAAATTTTGAGTCTCACTATTATTTTAAACTTTCTTCATCAACTTGTTTCAGCGCTTTAAAACTGCATTCATAATGTTTAGTTTGTGACCAATAATGAGGTTATTTACGTTCCTACGCTTTTGGTATGGTTTATCGCTGTACTGTCGATCGTTGGTATTAAAATCAATAGTTTGATGTTGAGAGAACTGAGCTAAATATACCGCTTGGTACTTTTAGAACATATCTAACTTTGGTGACTAATCAAATGTCGCAAGATAAAAATAATATTAATTATTAAACAGAGACCGAACCTATTTTTGAGTAGCACAAGGTGATACAAGTGAACCAATCCATATCAGCCAAATGAGAAAGCCACGTTGTGACCCTGACTACAAGCGCTTGTTACTGGTTAAAGAATGAGTTCATTTCCTAAGTATATACTTTTGCATATGACTCGGTTTGACTGAGTGAATTTTTTTCTCATACAATAGACGGTTGAAAGTTTACTTGCTGATTAGGAGATTGTTACAACATCAAAATAAGATCAACTCTTAAACAGAAAAGCATAAAGTTAATGAAATAAATTGAAACTCATTGTCATCAAAACCTAACCGGACGGCAGTTCATGAAAATTTACTAAAACATGATATACTACTAATGACTGCCATAAGTTGGTTGGAATTCTTTACAACTTCATCATCAATACGTCAGAATTGACCATTTTCAGTTCACATATATATTCAAATCACCACTAATAGTGAACTAAACATATACACAAGTTCATAGTTTTCGATAATCTATTAGTTACCTCATGATACCAAACCAGTATGATTAAAGGCACAGTGAAGTAAAACATATCAATATGGGGAGTGAGTTTGTGGGGATTGTTGAATTTTAGCTTACATCATAGTGACTTTGGAAAACTACTAAAAATTAGAACATACTGATGGAAATAACATTCTCGTCGACTGAATTCTCGGGTATTGATCTTCTTCCAGAAGATCCAATTATCGACTTAGAATACGCAGATGACATAGTCCTGCTTGATGAAGACGCTGATAAAATGCAGTCTTCTGGTAGCACTAAGCAACAATGCCAGAATGTTTGGAATGCATTTCTCTCCCTCTAAATGCAAGTTGTTGCTTCAGGACTGTCCTGCGTCAGCACCTGAACTAAGGATAGGGAGTGCAGTAGTCGAACGCGTTGACAACTTCACTTATCTTGGAAGTCTGATCAGCCCTAATGGGTTGATGTCTGACGAAATCTCAGCACGGATTCGAATAGCTCGTTTGGCTTTCGCCAACTTACGTCACCTTTGGCGAAGGCGAGATATCCGTCTACCAATAAAAGGACGAGTATACTGCGAGGTAGTCCGTTCTGTTTTAATTTACGGCAGTGAAACATGGCCATTAAGAGTAGAAGATATTCATAAGCTACTAGTATTTGACCACAGATGCCTTAGAAATGTTGCTGGCGTCTGCTGGGATCACCGGGTAAGTAATAGTGAGGTTGGACACAGAGTATTAGGGAATGATGGTAAATCAGTTGATGAGGTTGTGAATCTTCATCGACTGAGATGGTTGGGCCACGTGTTACGTATGCCTGAACACCGACTACCACGACGCGAAATGCTGCTGACTAGTGTTGGACACGGTTGGAAGAAAGTTAGGGTTGGCCAAACCAAAACGTGGCATCAGTCTTTGAAGTCACTAACTCCTAGTCCTAGTAATGTTGATAGATAGATGCAGACTACTTGGTCCACACGACTATTGTGACAAATGGTTGGTGACTGTGAGTGACATGGCTGAGAATCGATCACAATGGCGTCGGTGTATACACTCTCTGTCTTCCTTTAAACTAAGAGAATAAAATCACTCCATATCTTTCTTTGTACGAACTAATTCTTTCCTCCTGTACTATATCCTTATATGCAATCTTTCTTTCATATATTACCACCATTGACTTAACTACTCCTATGAATCCGGTGTTGTGGTAATGAGGTATGGCAACTTGGATCGATGCATATATGTGCCTGTTCCTACGTTGTAGCTAACTGACGACCCCACCATTGATTTAGTCCAGGAGTCCCATGGTAGGACCACAGAGCTGCTCAATAATTTCTGGTTTTTAATGGTTGTTTTACTGAAGTAAATCAGATACAGAGTAAAAAACATGTGTTACAAAAGGTAAAACACTGACACACTTCAATATCACTTGGAATTATATCAAGGCCTTCGCGTCTTCTTTTAAAAATAACTGATTTCAATTGAAAAATAATTTTATTCAGCGGCTCTTCTTCAGTATCTTGATCATCATCATACCTGAACACCGAAAAGTTTATAGCCTAAACACAGATGAATATAAAGATGACCAATAATGAATTGATTACGTCATTTGCATTTTCTGTTTCTTCTCTGAACCAGTCGAACGCCGCTAAAACTGAATTCCAGGCTTGAGGAGCACCAGGTGCTAATAAATGATGCTTACTAAGAATATTTGGGTAGCCTAGAATTTTAAGATAACTACAGAAGAACCAAGGATTATGCTGTTTGCTTTTATGGAAAATTATTCTTACTTCAGACAAACTTCTTCCGCTTTCATTCCGTCGTTTTCAATACGAAAGGAGGGCTCAATTTGTCGAACAAGATGTTCGAATATTGAAAATATTTCTTTTGAGTTGGGTGAATGGAGGATTTTGGGAGAAAGGGAATTTGAATAGTCGGTGGTTTCCAGAAACTAAAGTCAAATGAAAGTTAGGCCTGTCAAAACAAAGTTTACCTGGATTAAACTTCCTATCATCTTAGTGATATTTGCTTTAGATTTAACCTCACGGTTAACAGGTTTTTGTTCCTGTGGACCAACAGATGAAGTCCTAAATAATGTTTAGCTAATGAATAACAAACAATCTACCTTGCTTTGATATTAGAAGGGATTCCAGTCATACGGCTCTTTCTCTCGGGTTGAAGACTGAAGTTACGAGGCATAGTTAAGTCTAAATAAGTACGAAATAAAAAAGGAAAATATATCAAAAAAGTATTTTGCACGTTATGACGTAACTGAAAGATGGTACTTAAAATTTACCACACATATTTAATGTAACCTAAGACAGAAAAGTACGAAAATCAGCATTATGGTAGTAGCACCCCATACGAAACCGCTCTGGAAAGTGAAAGCTATTCCGACAGTGTTCGTTAAAATAGAGAACCTTTTGCATAAACTGAAGCATATTGACCAGTTTTTCAAATTATCATTCTGAGACTGATTCATCCAAGTATAAAATTATCTCTCAGTAAAACTTGGATACTATGTTCTTCTATACCGCTGGTTGGGTAACAGTGAAAGACTGCAACCGGTGACTTGAAAAACTACGTACCATTGTTGGATTATAGGAAAAACAAATAGAAAAGGAGATCTTAGACAAAATTAAACTGGTCTAACTCATCCCTCTCTACAATGGAGGGGACTCGACGCAACGCAGATTCAGGCAGAAACATGAACTGGTTCAAGTTGCCAAACCACATTAGCACGAGAATGAGCCCATTTGCGTGATTTTGAGTCACGTCACCCGACGTTTTCGAAAAATGGTCAAGATGATCGTTCGGACTGAAACGTCCGTAACTACTAATACGGTTCAGATCAACAGCCAATGGGTTCATACACTTGGTCTGAGAGCTCCTAACTTCTAACGTATTCCCAACTCATCAAACATTGGGCGTTCAGGTAGGCAAAGTAAAGGATACGTAATAGTTCTTGTAAACTCTTCAGACGATAGAGGTTCAAAACATCAACCGACTTGACATATAAGTCCAGTACTCCATGCATAACCTCAACATCGGTCACTTGGTAGTCCTAACGCAAACGATAAATACTTGGGACACCTAAGACTCAAGACTAGTAACTTACTAATTGCTTTTACTTTTAAAGACCGTTTCACAGACATTAAGTGAAACACAGTAAGCGGATGAAGATTGTGTTCAAAAATCTAGATTACCCAATGCAAGTGACACATATTTGCAGACGCCAAGCAAGTCTTCTGAATCCATGGAGATTTTATCAAATACCAACCCACCGGGACTAATGGAACTCCAAAGATAAGTGAAGTGGTCAACACTCTCAACTTCATTACTTCCTACAATGGTTACAGGTGAAGGCCGAACCCGATCTCCCAGATTGTTTGGTAATAGCAGGTAATCGTAGGGTAGATGGAGGCCAGTTGAACCGTTCCTTAAAATTTTCTGCACATCGTTTTAATCTGCAGTAGTGTGGACAATGTTTTTTTCACCAAGTAGAACTTTTGTTAGTACATGTTCAAGTTTTCATTGCGCTTGGGTCTGATGGGATTCTTATAAATTCAGATCCCACCAAAATTCACTGATTCATCTGGCCTTTTCGTTCAAGTCACTAACATATACCACTGTTTTTGCGGCTGTTTTGATATCAAACCAAGCTGAATCAGAGTGAATATCCCTTTAATGGTTGACTAGGCATTTATAATGGTGTTCCTGAGAGGTGATTCTGATTTTCCATCTACGGATGAAATCTAAGAGTTCTTTCTGCTGTGAATTTTATGGGTCCAGTAAGACGCAAGCAAACGCGTCCTTGCGTCAAAACATGATCAGAGTTTAAACATGTGCTTCGGAACAAAGTTTAGTCTTCAAATGAACCTTTCCAACGATGATAGTAACATAGTTTATTTTGTCCATCGTTGAGTCACCTTAAGGGCTTGTTATGTTACATGATCTCTCTACTAATGACTGAAGTTGGTGGTTGTCAAGACTAAACAGTTAAGAATAAAAACACGCAAGCGAAAACGATATAATAATATCAAGCGAAGCAGATCGTAGTTGGCCTATGGACCAAAAGACGGACTTCTGCAGCACATCTTAACCAATATACCTGGTGACGGTTCGTCATTTGATTAAATAAATGGCCACCTTCCGTCAACATATATCTAACATCAATGGTGTTTACCAGCTGTTTCTGACACATCAGGGTGGCCATTTAGGTACATCTTTCAAGAGTTAAGCGCAACTATACGTGACTGTGTTGTAATTTATGTAACAAGAAAAACTTACACATAGATTATCGACTTAAACAAACATGATTCTACTGGAGGACACCAGTTTGTAGGTCACTTACACTAAAACCAAGTGACTGTTGGACTCATTTTCAGCTTAACATATTAAGAAAACAATCGGATATTTCAAGGACAATAAAACAACACTACTAGACACTGTAGCATCATGGTAATGTGGATCAGTAAACAACTGATTTAGATGTAGTTCATTTCGCTACATAACGACAAGTAACTAAAGCTAAACAAAACAGGAATGCGGCATATAAAAAAGGTCAGTATTTGGACACTAACGAAATTACCACTAAGAATGAGTACCCTGATAATTTTAATAAAAACCGACATTCACGTTGCACTTCAACACATTAAGGTTCCAATGGAGACACAAGCCATAATCACAGTCAGTCCAATGAGACAAACCCTACAGAAACAATGCTTGGTGAAAACGTACAGCTTAGGACTCGACCCTACGTTTAAATGGAGCAAGTATCAAGAAGGATAAAACGTCATAGATGTATATAGATTTAAACTGATGTTTAGTTCCAACCAGTTGACCTAGAAATGTGTAAATATTGTAAGCTATTAAATTTGGAAATGTGAAAATAATCAGTGGGTAAGGTTCAAATGGTTGTGGACGGAATAGAAGAAGCTTTCGCTTAACAGGCTTTCGTGTCTAGTAGCAGGGGATCACCAAATCCTCCAGGCAGGAACCTAGGTATGAGGTTTTTATGTGAGTTAGTGTCGAGAAACCCACAATGGACTATGCGTGTTTAATACTCAAAATATGAAAGCAACAGCTTATTTTATAGAGACGACAGACTTTTGAAACAGGTTAAATTAAATACTGTGTGGTGATAGTAGAAAGTCACAAAGCTGCGGCCTATTAGAACTTTGAAATATCTGGACACATTCGCTGAAAAGAAGACCTAGTCATTCGAAGTATGTAACCTAAACAAGTGAAATCAGAAGAAAGACAATAAGAACTAACTCCGGTATGAATGAGGAATATATCCAAATCAATCGCCCTATTTCGTGATTTTCCCCAGTCGTAAGAAATATGGTAGATTTCCTAAAAGTATGGGGGAAAACCTGTGTTATAAAATAATGGAGAAATACTGGGAAAAACCGAATATCTCGCCAAAAATTTTAATGATTCGTGTCTTTCCAAAGTCTTATGTTGCGCTTTCCCAAAAATTCACCTAAACAGACAACATTTTCCCCAAAAATAGGGAGATCAGACACAGACACAACTACATGATTCGATACAAAGAGATGCATAATATTAAAATCTTCAATTAACTCAAGTGCTGAGTCATAATCATCTACCAACACCAACAACACACAGTAGTTTCCAAGTGACAAAATTTCTCCCAAAAAGGGAGATTGAGGTGTTACCAAACACCAGTAATTCGTTGTCAGCGAAAGTTCATCTAATAAAATATTCTAGAAAATATTGATGTGTAATTTGTGGTATTCACGAAAATCCTACTACTTTATGACTTACAAATGTCCTGCTTATCATAAACTCTAACAGCAACCTATATTTGACTAGGAACTCAACTTTCCGCGCAATACTCTAATACCTAAACTCAATGTATACAAACAAGTTCGATTATTATAAAGACGCTACCAAACAGTGCAGACACCCGATTATTTTTGTAGCGGAATGAAGAGTTTCTTCATTATTCACTCCTACATGGAACCGGAGAGCAGATGAAGCATATAGTGACAGAAATATTGAAAATTTTATAATTCATGATATGACATTATAATCTGCCTTCTTTTTATGATACCACCGGCGTGACTATGTCAGTACTCAATATATTTAATTTATCAATATACTGACTGCATAGTGTATAGCTTGTCATATTGATTAGATAGTTGCCAACTCCCTTACTACCTGAAGACTAAGTCGTTTTTTGTGTGCCTTAGTCTTCTTAACTCCTCCTGTAGCTCTTTTCAAGAGTTACTGCCGGTCCCAAGCCCGGATAAAGGAGGAGGGTTGAACATGGGGTTAGCGTCCCCATCCCGTAGAAAACTAACTCGCTAAAAAAAGCTAAGCAGAAAAAATAACTCAAACCATTTAAACTTTGCACGAAATGCACTTGTGGATGGAGATGTGGGAAGGAGATCTGAGCAAATGTGAAAACTACAGAGGCATTACACTACTGTAAATACCAGGATAGGTCTTTAACAGAGTTTTGCTGAACCGGATGAAAGATGCATTAGACGCCCAACTTCGAGATCAACAAGCTGGATTCCGTAAGGATCGATCATGCACAGACCAAATTGCAACACTACGGATCATCGTCGAACAATCAGTTGAGTGGAACTCATCACTATACATCAACTTCATTGATTATGAAAAAGCATTCGACAGTGTAGATAGGAGGACATTATGGAAACTTCTTCGACACTACGGAGTTCCTGAGACGATTGTCAACATTATCCGGAACTCATACGACGGACTACAGTGCAAAGTCGTGCATGGAGGACAGCTGACAGATGCATTCCAAGTAAGGACCGGAGTCAGACAAGTCTGTTTACTCTCTCCCTTCCTCTTTCTTCTGGTGGTCGACTGGATTATGAAGACCTCGACATCTGAAGGAAAACACGGAATTCAATGGACAGCTCGAAATCAATTAGATGATTTGGACTTCGCAGATGACCTAGCACTCCTATCACGTACACACGAACAGATGCAGATGAAGACAGACAGTGTAGCAGCAGTCTCTGCATCAGTAGGCCTCAGCATACACAAAGGGAAAACCAAAGTCCTCAAATTCAAAGCGGAAAACAACAATCCAATCTCTCTTGATGGCGAAACTCTGGAAAATGTAGAGTCCTTCACATACCTAGGAAGCATCATCGGTGAGCAAAGAGGATCCGATGCAGACGTAAAGGCGAGGATTGGCAAAGCAAGGACAGCATTCCTACAGTTAAAGAACATATGGAACTCAAAACAACTTTCAACCAATATCAAAGTGAGAATCTTCAATACCAACGTCAAGGCGGTTCTACTGTATGGAGCTGAAACTTGGAGAACTACAACAACCACAATCAAGAAAGTACAAGTATTTATAAATAGCTGTCTACGCAAGATACTCAACATCCATTGGCCGGATACCATCAGCAATAGCCTTCTGTGGGAGAGAACAAACCAACTTCCAGCTGAAGAAGAAATTAGGAAAAGACGATGGAAATGGATAGGACATACATTACGCAAATCGTCAAACTGCATCACGAGGCAAGCCCTAACTTGGAATCCTGAAGGGAAGCGAAAAAGAGGAAGGCCAAAGAACACATTGCGTCGGATAATAGAAGCAGATATGAAAACGATGAATTACAACTGGACGGAGCTAGAAAGGATTGCCCAGGACAGGGTTGGATGGAGAATGCTGGTGAGCGGCCTATGCTCCTTCACGAGGAGTAACAGGCGTTAGTAAGTAAGTAAGTAGTCTTCTACCTTATTTAAACACGTCCATGATTGTCCATACACTACAGCGTTTTCAATATCGCGGAATAAGCATCCGACTCTTCATTGGACGGTCTCACGGTGAATCATAAGCAATCACATGATGTCATTATGTAATAAATCAATATTTATGGTAAACCGGTCTTGCTTCAGGTCGTGTAACTGGACTGAGATTGTGGTAGTCTGTTGTTACGTTGTAGCAGTATTCTAGTTGTCGAACCGTTTTATTAATTGTACGCGACATGAACGGTTGAAAACACTTTGATTTATTTCATCGAGTTGTTGGTTAACTTTTGCGCGATGATGAAAGTTAATATTTTGTATACGAGTATTAAGATATAACTCCTGACATGAGCACATGCTAGCATTCCAAAATTACGAATTCATACTTGTAATTTATCATTTTGTGGATGAAGATACACTTGTGGTTTTAGGATATCGTATCATACTTGAAGTTGAATATTCATTTAGGGAACAATTAACCACGTGCTTCATGATTGCGCATGGATGGTGAGTTCAAACAAACCAAGTGTAATGGCGTGACGGTATAATTCAAGTCATGTCACACTATGCAACAAATATATACTCTAGATTACCCTATCGTAATGGTCATGAGCTGCTCTTTCTTTTTGCTTCGTACAGAACAAACTAAATCTCTAAGTCTAAATCATTTTGTATAAATAGTGAATCAGGAATTGAAGTAAAAGTATCACAAAACTGTAACAGGATAAAAAAATTTAGTAATGTTCTCGTACCAATAAATTGTTCTGTCAAATGTAGTTATATTTTCATCTGCTTTAGTTCATACGTTTGACGACACAAATTTCGGAAAAAAAATTGGACTTAATAAAACTTATGGTCTCATATTAGATTAATGTAGTTCAGCACATCATTTTTTTCTGGTTTGAGAACAAAGGCATAGACAGGACAAAATTTTTTTTCCCTTCGTTGAGTTTTTGCCATTTGCTTGTAACTTATAATGCCCAAATATTACAACTGCAAAATGGGTTAAAATGCATTCATATAAGAGTTTAGTTAGGAGAAGTTTTGGATATATATCATTTTGGTGTAATGAGTCTCATTTCGTTTGGGAGAATAGAAATGTATTTCAATGCAATTTGTAATATGTACGAACATTCTATAACATTAGTTATCTTAAAGGAGCAGAAAGCTAAAAGTATATTGTAGCTGTAAATAAATCCCCAAAATAAAAATAGATCTGTAAGTTTTCGACATTGGTTGCTGGCCACATTAGTTTTAATGGGATCACCTAGCTGAAGGCGCTCGGTCATGCAGCCTCACCAGATCACGAGTGGGAACGCCGTACTCAACAACCCCTGCAATCGCTAGCTAGATTAGACCAGACGATCCTCGATATATCGATAGCCTATCTAATATACCTTCGAACCTTCTCGCTTCTGCCTTTTGATTTCACTTCGTGGGTACGATTCATATTAGAATATGTTACTGGTTAGAGCGTTGTCAAATTCCGAGTACCTGTGGCATCTTCAATATAGTTACGAGAGGAACAATGATAGTGTACAATTAACCAATTAAAGTAGCTCCGTCAGTTAAAATGGGTCTACTGATCTGTGTGTGGAAATAAAACTTAATTATATAAATAAAATCGACAAAGAGTTCAATCAGTTCTTTAATATTGAAGAAACTTATATGTCACCAAGGTGGAGAAAGACTAACAACCGTTTACTCGTTCTGTCAACCAGTGAACATGAATAAACACTCATTAACTTCACATTGGTCTTTCAGTGTTATATCTGTAGAATGCTCTACTGAATTGTCCTCGATTCATAACTCATAATACGACGACGTTTAATGAGAACACTATTAATGGTCCTTTGGATCCATTTTTCACCGAAAATAAATAAAACTAATATCTGAATTAACTATTTTCTGTGTGATTTACTTGCAATAATGTTGGACTTAGGGTGTAGATGATTTTATTTTAAAAGTACTGATCATCACATAGTCAATAACTGACTATGTGGACACATGTTTTCAATGTCATAGTGATTGATTTTCTCACTGACTTGATTATGGATTTTGAATTATTCTTATCACAATCAGGATATTGAAGCCTTTTATCGTTATGGTACTTGGTGAAATAATTATCAATATTTTATAAGCCAACTTCTTCCTCCTGTATAGGTGCCGAAATGTAGCAAACGGTAAATCACTCCATTAAGTGTAACTGGAGATTGTGCAAACGTTATGAAAGAAATTTCACTGACGTCACAGAGACCATAAGTTAAGTGACCCATTCAAATTCGAGTTAAAAAAGCAAACTGTTGATCATAATAAATGTGGCTAGGCGACCAGCAAAAATTTAAAAACCAACGAAGTTGGTGATTCATAGTGTTCCAGTGAGTAGGTGATATTCAGGATGAAGCTCACAACAGCCTGCTGAAATCTCAGAAGAATCAGGTAATGAGATAAACCACCAAACGCATCTATAACAACGTGGGAGGGCTAAAGAGTAAACTGTAAGAAATAAGAAAAATGCGCTTCCAGTTAAATCTGAAGATTATATTCCTATCAGAAAAATTGCTGTTGCCCGACACCATGGAGGAAGAAATGAGTTTGCAAGGCATGACAATTTTCAGATACGGTATAATATATAAGACAGAAATTTGAATGATAGCACATTAACAGTCACCTCGAAACCACACCATTACACATTACAAAAATTATTCGAAGTGATAGAATCATGCTGGTGTTGCTTCACTGTGAACAGCACGTAGTACTTGAGTGGATGAATAGACCGTCCTCACTCAGATTCTAACAGGCAAAGCAATGAGACAATACGGGCGAAACTAAAGTCACCAAACATGAACTTTGGCCGTATATTACACCCCGTTTCTTAATATAAGCAAGCAGGATGCATTTGCCAAAAAGTAGCTCTTTTGGACACTGAGAAACGGTTGCAATGCCAAAGTCCTCAGCCACTGGAGTAGTTCTGAGCTCAAGCTAGCTGAGCAAGCTAGACCAGTTCAAATACTGTCAAAGGCAATAATGATCTGGTCAACGGACAAATAAATGAATAAATAACTGGATAAAAACAACATCCTACTTGAATTTCAACTTGAGTTCAACAAATACAGACCCTGTGCGCCAGATCTCCTCATGGTACGGATAAGCTGGTCGAGATAAGATAACACTTTGTGTAATATTCCTTGATTTCACAAGAAACTTTGGCGTAATACTGTGCATACTTATCACAACGTAGGCTGTTAAGCTTGGCTTCACTGACCCACTTTATGCGTGCTCCCAAACTACCTAGTGAGAATGACGTTTCACACCAGGGAAAAAGAGTTCGTTCGAGTTGAAAGTTCTCATCGTCTGAAGTTTCACAAAGAACAATCTCAAGTTCACTCCTTTTCATGATATTTATTTAGGACCTGTTAAATAAAACTAGCTCTGAGGCACTGTATGTATCAGGCTCCTCATGACTGAGAATAAGTCAATCAATCTGTGATATAGGTTGTTTACCTACGCTTACCACTCAAACTCATGTTTCCAATATTATGCTGGATTAGCTATTCTACTATGACAACCTATAACATGCTTACTCGGATTTTTACACTAGGATTGTGTGGCTGTCATCGGACAAACAAAAAAAGGAAAAAAAAGTTAGACAACAAAAGATGTAGTCATTAATATTTTTAACACTTCACCCTTTATATACACACCCTTCTTATAAACCGCTTTCCTTGTACCAGCCTTGAATTCCTTCCCTTCGTGTGAGCTTACTCCAACTTGTTAAACATCACAACTCATTGTTCTTTATTAGTACATTCTCTAATATGGAGCTTCTGACTTCATCTCACTAACAAGACATATTATGAATATATTCTAATTTATTATACCTCTGTCCGTTTTACTACACTATGTTAAGCAACGTTTGGCGTTCATATCCAAGTGCCTTGCTGCTCTTCTGTTTCTCTTTTTTTCTCTTCAGAATCTTGCTCTGAGAGCACAGCTATGAAACTTCTGACGTTTGGAACAAACTTGATGTACGTGTCCTCTCAAGGTCATAGTTTACAGCAAGCGCTCTACGATTTCACTTTATAACAACTATAAACTTAATAAGTTGGGAAACGTTTTGTGAACTAACAAATGTTGCAATTTATAGATCATGCCTGTAAAAACGGTGTGAACCTGCACATGCAGAAATATATTATTATTATATGCAGAAAACAAAGAGATCTGGAGGTCCACAACAAGTGAAAAGAATTGAGTTCAGATTCCAGAGGAACTTAAGATATTAGTGTCATGTTAATTAGACAGTCGATTAAAACATATACTGTCGAAATGTCACATCATGTGTATTCTATTTCATTTGACTCGAGGCAATTACACCCTCCATTGAATGCCACTTCCGATAGTTTCGAGCTCGTAACCATAATGAACTCTTTACTTTATGCTTGGACAAACCGACGCACTCACTCCTGAGTTGCTCATAATTCTCCTACAAACGTGCGCGTCGCCCCCACTCTGAGATCTACAACGTCGTTGACTCCCTCCTCTTACATAGGGATATAAATATCTTAGACCACGCAAGGAGACATGCAACCAATTGGTTGAAAGTTAAGATACATAATTCGTGGGAGGATAAACTTACATATCTGGGAGCATTCTCTCTGAGCTACAGGAGAATTATAGATGATCTCATAATGGGACACAAGATATTAAATACTCCAACCTACCCCAACATGATCACATTACCATAACATAAACACCACACTCCTTGAGTTAAACTTTGAAAGATTGCACACCAAAAGCGAATATCCAGGTATGAGTTTACTTTTCTCAACAAGAGTTGCCCCTATTCGAGATGCTCTCCCAACTGAAGTGATCATAGCCCCATGAGTGGATAGCTTTAAGAGGAAACTTGATGAACAGGTACTGGCAATTAGATTACCATCTCCCTCTCGGATCAGCTGTGTCTGGTGCCTGTTCCATTATTTAACACGATCATCATTAACACATATCAGTAACTACTTCCAATCTCTCTCACTGTAATTTACGCTTACCTTTTTGCTCTTTCAATTCGGTCTTATCACAAATTACCAATTAGTTAACTTATTTATTTTTCGGGAAAATCGTCTACTTTTAGTACTCCAATAAACGCTTAATAATATTTATGATTACAACCAACCAACCTCCTTCATATTATGTGATAGCTGCTGGTTTCCAGGATTCCCATCGCTCTGAGACAAACTCCCTCAAAACACAAGATATACAAATTCGCAAACAATTATCAAACTTAATAGAAGTAGTGCAGTCAAGTAACTGTACTATCACCCGTTGGAGATTACAACATACGTGTATCCGTACCGGAACAACGAGAAGAGAGAGCAAAGAAATCAATCGGTGACAAAAATCTCATAAGGAGAATATCTAATGTTGAATATCGGAACTGTGTGTTTTAAATAAAACGAAATATCATATCATTGAGTTATAATATTGTTCGACTTCTATAGATGAGTTAACTAATTTAAATATCTCAAACTCTTTTAAAGTAAGTTTGTACATTAATTGCAAATTATAAGAAGTGAATACTTTAGAAACGAAATGTGATTCCATGAGAGGTTATTGTTCGGCCTAAAAAATAATGAAGTCATTCTCAATGTCTGTGAATAATTTTTTTTCATTGAATTAACTCTGCATCCTAAAAATCATACATTTCGCTCTTACGCGCCTACTTCCCATATTTAGCTGGAATCTAGATACTATGATCACCATGATCACGGTAGAGCGCTTCTAATTGATCTTATCAACAATTTATGGTAATTTTGATCAAGAACTGCTTCATTACAAATTTTTTCACCTCGACAGTGGACCGAATCTCAACATATTGATCACTGATAAATATGCTATCGCAGCAATTACGAAACCTGAAAGTCATGCCTTCGAGTCATATGAGATCCTACGTTCAATTCCACGTGAATGCATCAGGTGCCAACTGTAGAGGGGCTAACTAATATTACTTAATTACTTGCTTACGCCTGTTACTCCCAATGGAGCATAGGCTGCCGACCAGCATTCTCCAACCCACTCTGTCCTCCGCCTTCTTTTCTAGTTCCATCCAATTCTTGTCCATCTTTTTCATGTCTATTTCCATTTCCCGGCGAAATGTGTTCTTCGGTCTTCCTCTTTTCCTTTGGCCTTGAGGATTTCATGTGAGGGCTTGTCTTGTGACGCAGTTGGGTGCTTTCCTCAATGTGTGTTCTATCCACTTCCAGCGCTTCCTCCTGATTTCTTCCTCCACTGGGATCTGGTTTCTTCTCTCCCACAGTACGTTGTTGCTGATAGTTTCCGGCCAACGGATCTGAAGTATTTTACGTAGACAACTGTTAATAAACACCTGTATCTTCTGGATGATGGCTTTCGTAGTTCTCCAGGTTTCCGCTCCATACAGTAGAACTGTCTTGACATTTCATACAGGATCGATTTCATACAGGATCTGTCTTCGTTAAAAGAGATTCGATATAAACGAATACTGAGAATATGAATACTAAAATGAAGATTTCAAAGAAAACGAAAAATAAATACCAGATAGGATTGCTAGCCAATATATGAAAATACAATTTTACTGTTGTCATGTTCACAACTCTTATTCCAAATTGTAAATGGAAGAAGTAAAAAGGAATCTGAATCCGAAATTTTATATTGATTTATTAGTTGTATTATTTTGCCATCAATATAATTTGCATAGTTAAGTCTTTTGATCAATTGTAATATGAGTTGCTTTGTTTTGCATGTGTGTATATGTTTATGTTTGAGATTGTTTAAATGCTCTCATGATATTACGAATAAATTGTATTCAATGGATTGATTTTAGGAAGTAAAAAAAGAACACATCTTGTTTAGCTAACATTTTTCATTGGTTACTAAATGATTGGCTGACATAATGATTTACATTACCTATTTGTTCTGCAGTCACTATTTATTTATTATTACCGAAGACTAAACGACGGTATAGTAGTTAAATTCATTAATCGTATGGATTTCAATAAAATTTTACTGCGATCTTTGTTTTTACTTTCAGTGATCATATTACAAGAAGTGAATGGTACGTCTTGATAGTTATATGTTAAAGTAAAATTTTTAAAAATGTTTGTATTATTTAACAACTTACATTAAACTTATCCATAGAATATATAGTTGAGTGTAAAAAGTCAATTGTTATTAAAGATTAGTTTGAAGCAGTTTTCCTCTAAGAAAATTTCAATGATACTCTAACTCATAGCATATTGTTTCGAAGATGATACATTTCAGTGTTATGTTCATATCAAATAATAGTAATTTCAATGGTTAAGATCATGAGTCAGTTGAAGCTAGACCACCATGGAAAACCTAGAGGCACTGGACGGCCGTTTCGTCCTATCGCGGGACTCCTCACTAGTGCGCGTCCACGACCTCGCCCCCTACGAGATTCGAACCCAGGACCTACTGGTTTCGCGCGCGGGCACTTAACCACTAAACCAAATGAGCCGGCACCCAACGATGTTAATGTCTAACTTCAACCAATCTACAAAATTGAGCGACACATCCACCATTGTTTTCAGTGAGTTACTATCTCATAACAGACCCGGTTGACTATCTGTTGAAGGTCGGATTCAGTAAGCCTGTAGATTTCTTTAAATAATTCACTTGTCCAATCATACCACAAAAATTCATTGCACAGAAAACTTAAACAGGAAACACTACCTAAAAGATATATAGACTTATGATGTGATAAAATATCTCACTGAAATTGTCAGTTAGGAGTAATGAAAATTGTTGGTTTTCATTCAGATCACTAAACGACGATTACTGAAAACCTGGCGGTCTAACCTAGATCGGTTCATGATTTCATCAAATAAAGTTATTTGTGGTTAAATACGTGACTGTTTATCACTTGTATTTCAAATATATTCTGACTGATAATTTAGATATGTAATTCTCAAAATAAATATCTTCATTATTGATTTTAATTTTAGGACGAACGGGAACTGGAGGTAGTACTTTTGAAAACGCTTAGGATGCTTACCAATATAATATTTTCATGGCTAATGATCTGTCGAAATAATGTTAAACATATTTTTTTTACATAACAGTTTACATGCATTCTTTGTGGTAATTCCTATAAAGTTATGGTAATCATTTATAGAACAGCTGAATCAGTCATACTGGTTATACCTAGGTTTTTATTACTTCGATTGAGAAAAACTTTAATGCAAGGACGAAACTGCACAAAAACCATATGTCTTATTTATCTCTAATCAGAGAAGTTGCAAACAAACTAAGTTGATTAGGTCATTTAAGAACCAATAATTTTTATAATATTTTCAATTCACTAAGTTACTAGTTCGTAGAAAGAATAGAAATAAGCAAGTGGATTACCGTATAACTGAAAGATTTAGGCTTCAGTAAATATTGTTTTAGCACAAATGTTTGCAATTTAATATAATAGTAATTTTTCACATTGGTTGTAATCATGTGAAAGCCTCACTATCTATTATTGAAGAAAACTATGTAGTGGTAAAGAATATTGATGTGTGGGCGAGAATGATAATAATTTTTTTGTCTGCTTAGTCAAACATGTAGATAGTTTGATAGGTGTCAGATGTGTTATATATTCCCATATCCTTATAATTATTACTATTGATTGTTCATTGTTGTTGGATTGTGTTGGGTTTCGGTGTGGAAATATATTTACGTTCTAGTCAGGTTAATCACGTGTTCTTGACCTGAGTTGTGTTGACGTCCTGTAGAATAAAATACTGGGAGGGTAAATTAACGTCCCATACGTGTAAACGTGGGAAACCCAACCGTTATAACAAATATAGAAATATAATTAATGAAAGTATTTAGATATGAAAAGGCCAAATTTTAGTCAATGGACATTAGGTTTACTTTTGTAATAGAAAAAAATGAAAATCAACAGTTTGTAAATATCATGTTCTGATCATTTATCTCTAATTTGTCATTATAAAATAAAATAAAACAGAGCAAAATGCAAAGCAAGCAGCCCTGAACAACTATTTCAGCTTATGTGATAAACTTAATGGATTGTAGAAACGAGATGAGAACGAGATGATTTCATGGAGAGACTATAGTTTATGGACGAACCAATCAGGTATAAAATAACAGGTCTCGTATATTGGCGCGAAATTCACTCATCCATTTGGATAAACAGAGTTTTGGCATTATAACTTATATCAGTTCGTGATCAAAAACTTAAATCTAATTTGTAACTTTAACCATCAATTGTAAATCGTAATTCTAATTCCTCACACTGGTTTATAATCCTCATTCGGTCTTAGATATTAGGTGAACACTCTCAAGGTCAGTCTAGCGTCTCTCAAAGGTCGTCCATAAATTATAGTCTCACAGGTTTCATTTATAAATAAAATGGGAAACAATTATATTTATTTGTTCCTCCAATTGTTATTTTAATGTATTTCACATATTGTCTACTTGTAATTTGATCAATATTTATAAAATATATATCGGCTGTAGAATGGTGTTATCCAACAGAAATGTAGCCGTCTATATACCAGGAATTTGATATTCTAAGATAGTTTCACAATGAGTTAGTCAAATCTTTAGTAATATCTTATATAATGTATAAAACATTTAAAAAATGGTCAGTTATGTATTCTGGCCTTAATTTAACATGGTACCAACTAATCACGATAGCAGAGTTATCCGCATAAGTATAACAATATATTTACCTATATATATATATATATATATATATATATATATATATATATATATATATATATATATATATATATATATATATATATATATATATATATATATATATGTATTTCAGTGATCTTCAATTTAGAGTGAGTTGAACTTGAGTCATTTTCAATGTACATTGTTAAGTTCCCTTCTATTCTAAATAATTAATTATTAACTAATTACATCATCATTGAATATGTACAATTATAGATAGTTTTGTATGTAAATAAGTCAATAACCTTCAATAAAATGATGCTTAGTTTCATTATCCTTATAAACATATATGATTGGAAGTAAGATTTTATTTATTGTATTGGTGTTATAATATTATTCCGAGAAAGTACCATGAAATGGGATTGTGGATAAATCCGTTTGAACGATTTAGTGCTTGAGTTTATTAAAAAAAGTATGCTGTACATTTATAGAATCTATAAGCAAAACACTGCAAAATACTTACTTCTCCTGATATGTATATCAATACGAATTTGTTAATTCACTTGGTATCGTTTTACTTGAATCTTCCCATTGATGTTTTAGGACTGAAATTGATCAATCTCTTATTGGCATATGTTCATACTGTGCGTATGCCTCGATATTGCCTTAATTTACAAGCATTATAAGCAAAGATGGATAGTGGCTAGCAGTAGCTAAGTGGATAACGCGATGGCGTTTGAAGCGAATGATACTGAGTTCGAGTCCCGGAGTGAACATCAACTCTGAGATGCAGGTACGTCCAGCTGACGAGTCCCAAACAGAACGAAACGCGCGTCCTGGATTCCACTGCTAGCCACTATTCATCTTTGCTTATAACGAATTTGTTATGTTTTTATTTGGTGAAAGTAAACTTCAATATCATCTTTAAGTGTTCAAGAAATATGTGAAAAGTAATTAGCATATATATTTCTTTCTAAGTATTCATCTATTGGGTCACGGTATAGATCCCAATTTGACCAAGAAACGACAGCTGAAAACTTTTAGTTTATTTTTATTAATTATTGTTGCATATTAACAGAAATCATAATTTTGTTAAATTTTCAAAGTTATTCATGACTTTCTGATAGTTTCATTAGAAAAAAATTATTATCACACTTCAGACAGTTTATCTTAGACCTTTGGTAAGTCAGTTTCTCTATTATCCTACTTATTATACAGCTGATAGTATTCATGACTAATATGTAACGATGTAATCTTGGATCGAAACAAAATTATTAAGATAAACTCTCATCACAATCATTATATCTTATATATACTAAGTTGAATACGTATCTTAATTAATTGCAGACTCTTGTGTTTTAACTAAGAAACTAAGGATTTATTGATATAATCTAATGTTTACTACGCTTCATATCTTCGAATAATAAATGAATATGATATTATTCTTTGTACACTATTATGGATATATATTTGATTTCAGATAGGTTTTTGTGGAGTTTGTAGTAATTTCAATGGTTAAGATCATGAGTCAGTTGAAGCTAGACCACTATGGAAAACCTGGAAGCACTGGATGGCCGTTTCGTCCTATTGTGGGACTCCTCACCAGTGCGCATCCACGACCTCTCCGCATGCGAGATTCGAACTCACCAATGCTTCCAGGTTTTCCATGGTGGTCTAGCTTCAACTGACTCGTGATCTTAACCATTGATATATATTTAATTATATTAAATTTACATTTAACGAAATAGTCGTTAATGATTAACATGATTACGTTCTTAATATGTGATACATATTTTTAGTCAAAATATAGGTGTGTAATAAAAGTCGAACACAGAGAGATAAGTCCATAAAAGCTTGTTGCATGATAGGTAATAAATTATTTTTTATTCAGCTACATCGGTATACTTATAAAGATCACTTGACGTCTAGTTTCCCAGTTTCGAGTATGACTTATTCAACCTGTTATAGATTATAAGCTAATCAATTAGTTGAAGATTCTGACAATATTCTAGTAAAAAATTATTCCAATAAATATGATCATCCTAGTAGTAAGAGTAAAACATTAATACACAACACTATCGTTTAATTGTTATTCTATCATCAACAGAATGATTTTTTTAAACAATATGTACTTAATGACGTATTCAGCTCAAACTTTCTATGGAATGATTCTTCAGCATGTTAAACGAAGCTAGACTTGTCCATATTTAAAGTAGAAAGCATCCATTTGAATTAATTCGTATTTATACTGCATACTAACACATGATCTTGAGGTATACATTTTAGAAAATATTTAATGTTCTAGAGGAGTAGGAAAATTCCAAACATTTATAATGAGTTTTATTTTAGAAAAGTAAACCGAAAATGCTGACATAAGCAGAGATGGATAGTGGCTAGTAGTGGAATCCACGACGCACGTTTCGTCCTATTCGGAACTCGTCAGCTGGATGTGCCTGCATCCTAGAGTTGATATTGTCTCTGGAACTTGATATTCTTCTAACACACACTAGCAAATACTATCACAGTAGACTTTATCTAAGTACGCATTAATTTAACGATATTTGACTTAACAAAATAAAATTATCGGTCTATCTTAAGTTTTTTATCGAGGGTTGTTGTCAGATCTTGTGTTAACATCATGTTGTTCAGTATATAATAGCACGCAACTTATTTCAGTTCACAGATATGGATTTATATTACTCATTGTTGACGATAGAATTTTTTTCAAAACAATGTGTTTGTATTATACTAAAGAATACAATTGTTCAAAGGGTAATCATTGTATTTAATGAAACAGTAGAATCTATTTTACACTCGATCGGGTCATACCAAAAATGTTATGTAATTGGTAGATAACATAAAGTACTGGTGGAGTGTTAGGGGTTTTAAGGAAATTCTAAGAATATATTTATCCTATAAACATGTGATCTATGGTCAATGAGACGAATTCAACTTCATTTTGACTCAAACATTTTTGTATATTCACTTCATTGTACACACGTTTACACTTACTTTTTCATGAACAAATATTAATCACTTCTATTACTTTCTACATATTCTACACATTCAGGGAAAACTTGTGCGAACGTTTGGCTGAAACATTCAGATGTCTTTTGAACGCATTACCAGTATCTCTTGGAGGTGCGAATAAAACCTGTTACCCATAGTAACAGCAAAAGATTTTACTTCCTAAAATTTTATAAAACAAAACACATCAGTTATAAATAAAAAAATTTTAAACCTACTGATAACCACACACATTTTAATAAAGCATAATGTTTGATGTGGTGCGAGTCCCTCACATTAGTAGTACTCAATATTTACATAATGCTCTATATTAGTGATATATATACACGTGATATCAAAAAGATTTAGATCCTTCAGTAGATAATTCATTCAGGTTGTTATCTTTATGATGTATCTTGAACTAATGGTGATGAATTCTAGCTACACTTTGATAAGAAGCTATCAAATACTCCTTTTTCCCCTGTATTCTGCTTCTGAAAGATGGACAAATCATGAAATAAATATTTATTTGGTAGAGATCGATAAAAATTGATTTAAGCAAGTAAATTAAGCGTTGAAAGATCACGGTAAATCGAAAACAAATGCAGAAATACTTCAGTTCAATTCTGAGATTCATGAGTCATGGATATAGAAAATCACCTACTGGATCGAAACAGGATCTTAAATTATGGAGATGAGCAGGTAATAATTAAACTATTAGAGTAGAATTTGCTAGCCAGTTTGGGATATAAAAAATATAATCGTCATACTAATACAATAAGATATGATAGAATCAGCGGGAAACTTAGCGTATAGTATACAGTAAGTGTAAATATAAACTCACATTTTTGTTCTTCACGCAATACTGAGATAAATTCCATCCTTCTCTGATCTTTGATTTTGTTGTAAAATCCAAACTAATCGAAATTCCGATTTGGAAAATAGTAAATTAACAGATAAAAGAAACAAAATCGCTACCTTAATTGGATTCAAACTAAGTTTTTCAGATACCAGCGTGATGAACGAATAGTTAGTATGGAGAACTAAAGTGTTGTTCAATGCAAAATAACACAGTTGTTTAGTAAAATATGAAAATCATACAATGAATACATCGTTTGCACATCTTCTTTGCGCTGCCTTTACATACTCCATTATTCTTCTTATTCTGTTGTTATTTTGATTCCTATTCGATTTCCATCCCATTCTCTTCAATTATGCTGTCAGTCATTTCACTCTCGGTTGTGGCCACATACTATTTATATTTGTCAGGTTAATTAGCATATATTACACTAAGACTAAAGATAAACAAGATTACCCAGTAAGAGGTTGTGAAGATAATTGGACTTCACTCGACTCATCAACCGATCAAACTCAGACCACCGCTGAAAATCTGGAAGCACTTGATGGCTATTTCATATAAATATGGGACTCCTCAGTAGTAGGCAACCACGACCGCGCCCGGTAAAATCAGTTTCGTGCGCGAACAATTAAAATCTAGACCAATGGGTCGGCATCCGGTGGTGTTAAGTTTTACATTCAGTGATTCCTCGAAACATTGCAACCATCGTTTTTTGGCTTCCATAGTCAATGGTCTAGAGTTAAGCAGTTCGCGCAAAATTGAATGTCATGGGTTAAATTCCGCGTGAAAGGGTCGTGGATGCTCACGTCTGAAGAGTCACATACTAGAGTGAAACAGCCACCAAGTGCGTCCGGATCTCTAGTGGTGTTTCAAGTTAGATCGATTGTTGATTTCAAGGATACTGAAATATGTTTTGGTTCGGTAAGAATTATATGTAAAAATGGGGTTTCTTGAGTGTTATCCAAATTATTATGCACGCCATTTTAAAAAATATTAAAACAACACCTCAAAATTAGTTTTAAAGAAAAACTAATATAAGTTTAATAGGAAACCATGTCCGGTGTACGAAATTGATTGTTTGATAATATGATCAGTAACTAAATGACATGGTCGTATCACTCAAAATTCACACGCTTCTATATCATTCCAATTATACCTTAATTTACACATTCGAAATTGATTCAACTGCATTGAAAATTCCTTCTTCATTCCCGTTCTACCATTTCATTTAGTAGAAAAGCTACCAAGAGTAATGACCATATAATTTCAGGAAGAAAAACCTGTTATAAATGTAGATAATATACCTAAAACATTGTTCTCAGATGATGAGCTCTGCTTAGTGGAATGAAAATAATCTAAGTCAGCTGATGAATAATAACCTCATCACAGTCACAATCCACCTATTATTGATCACATATGAGATAGATTACCGAACTCACAGTGAGCAGTTGTGATTAATAGATTCCGATCATGTCGTGATTGGAATGATAACAATTAATGATTATAGATGATGGTCGCGCTTTGTATTGAATTGAATAAGAATAGTTAATCAAACCAATAAACTTCTATTCAGTTTTCTAAATGTATCACGCTCGACTTGAAAACTTAAGGTGATGATTTCCATCTTTACTGGTTTAATGCTTAAGCACAGGTGAGCATTCACGTGCAGAAAATCAATCTTCTTTGTCCTCAATATTTCTCTAACTAATGTGTTTGCTGAATGGTATCTGTTCACTTTGAAAAGAATCGATTCATTATGATTACGATGCTCAGTTCAGAATAAATCATCACTTTTATGAGCTTACAGCAAAGTGTGAACAATTATCAAAATAAACTCAAAAATACAACTTTGTTAGAAGAAATAATGCAATAATAATTCTACTATATAGTCATATCGCTTGACTTAATTTGATTTAGTTGTCAACATATTAAAAAAACTGGTGTGGATAGATTTTAAGAAGGATAATCCGAGAATTATTAGCTTTCGAAAGTTAAATTACAGTAAATCTAATACATATATCCATGAATAGGTCGAATTAATAACACTTAGTTAATGGTATTTTTGCTGCCATCATTGCCGCTATAAAGGATTTAAAAATCATTAAAGGATTCTATGGTGTTTAGAAGTATTCAAACTGATTTGATAACTAAGAATTCCCAAAATAGTTCAATTTAAGGCCGATAGAACTAAACGAGTACAACTGTGAACGTATTATGATTCAGGTCATGAATCGGTGAATGTTAGACTATCATTGAAAACCTTAAAGCACTGAATGGCCGTTTCATCCTCGTATTAGACTACTCATTAACGCTCATACAGGATCCCGTACTGAACATTTAAACCCAGGAATCTCGGTTTCGCACGCTGGCCCAGTTGTTTAGAGGTTAAGCGTTTGCGAACAAGACCATAAGTCACGGGTTCAAGTCCCGCATACAGGATCGTGAATGAGCACTTCTGAGTAGTCCCATACTAGGACGAAACGGTCGTCCAATCTTCCCAGGTTTTCAATGGTGGTTTAACTTAGACTGACTTAGGAATTCAACTATTAAAATATAGAAACCACATGAACCAACTTTTATTGATTGCACATAAAAAATTACTTTATTCGTTTTGATAACGTAATTCCATTATCAAATAATCTGGTTTGAATAAGATAAATAGTTAATGCTAGATGAACTGATAGTTTCAGTCTTGCTACTATGTCAAAAGTTCAGTTCAAATAAAATAGATTATCAATTATAAAACCTATAATAAAATATTTTTAGAAACGATATTTTATTACTACTGTGGTGTGTGCTACTTATATTGACATAAGTAGTATATGTTAGTCGTGAACAGAAGGTCAGGCAACAGAGAGACAAGAAGATCGAACAGTAAAGAATCGAAACAGGATGCAATTTGTATAAAAATGCAAGAACAATGAAGTCTGAGTCATTATGAGACAAGTGATGGACATTTTGCAAATTAAGCATTTACTTTATGATTGTTAGATTTTATTAATAAGTCTTGTAATTTTGTGTTAAGTACATTTGATTGTTCAGCGAAGGGATCTCTATTCAACGAATTGATTATCAAGCTGAACAATCGTATAAATATGAATTTTTTTTGTAAAAGTACTAATTCCGTGAGGAAATGTGAACACAGTTAACCATGATGTTTGATTGTCCCTACTCGTGTTCTGTTCACTACACTACTTCAAATAAAAATCAGTAATATACATAATTTACTAACACAATATACTTTACAGTAAATGTGTATTAAAGAATAAAAACGAATGGATTGGTACCTATTATATCCTTTACTAATAAAATTGATGTTAGTCCTAATAATCGTGCTAAATACTTGAAGTAAATCATATTGTTATTGTGTTTTTTTTATAGGAGTATAGTTTCAACTTAAATAGAAACTTGATCTATACCAAAAAAGAAGTAATGTTTATTTGGATCAAATTACTGTAAAGTGAATAGAAATCCTGAATATAATCGATTTGTTGACATGTAGGGATTACAAATATAAATCATGAACTGTTTATAAATACCTGTAATGTCTAATGGAATAGTATATATGAATAACGTTTTGTTAAATGTTCTAGAATAATCTAGATGAAATAATGCATTCTTATTTTCTACTATCCACAATAGTTTTAACTTTATCGCTTATATTTCTTGAAGGAATTAATGGTAAGTTTATTAAAATATGATTAGTTGATTGTGTGAATAATGATATTAATTATGTTTGTTATCATGTTATAATTCGTAAAAGATTCAATAATTGATTTCTGCGGGGTGGGAGGAAATCATACGAAATATTTGTCATTATTTGCTTACTGGTCAGCGTTTCTTAGCGAGTTAGTTTTCTACTTGATTGGGTCGCTAACCCCATACTCGACCCTCCTCCTTTACCCGGGCTTGGGACCGGCAAAAACTCTAGGAGACCTATAAGTGGAGTTCAGTATTTGCTTAACTGAATACAAATGGACTCAAATTATCTCACGGTTTCTAAATTATTACTTTTAAATATCACGGTATATATATATAGTTTACTTACTTTCTAGAAATCGGTCATTTCAAGTTTCGTTTGTTAAAACAACATGTATGATAAAGTCTTGATTGGTAATTACTAAAAAATTTGAATATTTGACTGCGGCTCATAATAACATCTGAGACGCATCACTTTTATCAACATCAAATCATGTGGTGTGTACTACTGATTTCGACAAATATAAGTATCGTCAACAGAAAGTGAAATGCATGGTGGCAGAAGGTTAAGAAGATTGAAGAAAAGAGAACGAGGACAGAGAATGATTGGTGTGAAAAGGAAGAAAAATTTAAATCTGAGGCGATTGATTAACATTTTGCAAATGAAGAACTTACTGCATAATTCACATTCTGTAATTTTGTGTTCAAATAAATTCGATTGTCTTCACTTGTGTTCTCGTTCACTACAATATCAATCCCATCAATAATGATCTTAATTAAGTTTTTTAGTTAGTACAATGGTCCTTCAAGTCAGAGTTAAGGAGAATATTTCATTTTTGGATTCACTGAAAGTTTTATAAAATTACTACTTTTTAGTGTGTTAATTACAGATGTTTACTACAGTTTAAATCTATAAATATGTAGTGAAGATGTATTTGTTGCTTGTACTTGAGTGTAAAAGCGATTCGGTGACATTAACATATCCGGATTTCCGTTTAAAAATGAGTGTTTTCGGCAACTGATGTGATCTTTTTGTTTAATCACAACAATTTGAATATGTATCCTTGATAACCAAGCATTTACGTATTAAGCAATTTTAATATTCTGTATACAGAAGTGACTGGAGAAGGTGGTAAGTTAAACCATGATTATTTTGAAATCACTTAAAATAAGAATCTGATAAACTTTTAAATGACCCATTTGAAAAACATTTGTTTATTCATTCAGTACATGATATAACGCAAAGAAAAGCTTAAAATATCAACTCGAGGTTTTTGCTTTAATACTAAACAGGTCATATTAATTGACTTTGATAATATTCACTAATTTAAACAGTATGTTATTGTTCTTGTTATTACTGATATTAAACACCATGACAAATTATCACCTTGATATGGTGGATATTATTCCTTGCATTTATGTCCATTATTTTGAGAAAATGACCATACATCAAGTAAAGTAAATTTGTACTGCGTAAGTTATGTCAACAAACAGACGACACGCAGTATATATTGTTTTCTATAGAATGTGCTTTAGTCAGCGCTATAAACGTTTATCATCAAGATAGTCAAGGTAATTAACATGTATAGTTATTAAGCATTAACATGATGAATTAATTTGGTTTAGTTACTAAGCTGCGAAAAGTAACAAACCTTGACAATACTGTTTCTATTACACCAACAAGTGATACTTATGTTTCTGTAGCTTAATAAATAAATTTGACATTTGAAGTTATGTTTATTGGATTTGAGTTTCGAAGGTAGTTTTGCAATGCATGCAGAAGTGTTATTTTGATGGTGTTTTTTGGGATAATGAATGACATTTAGGATATTCCAAATTTTACTTTTCTATTTCCCATTGAGCATATAAACTATAATATTTGATAAAACTTACTTTGAAAATAGAAAACTTACAGAATGCAAATGTCGTTTCCTAGTTATTTTTGACCTTAGGTAAGTTTAACTATGAAAGTAAATTTACAATTGGTCATTTAGACTATCGTGAAATTTGCCTAATCATTAATTTACTATTACAGTTGCTCAGAAGTAGATTTATGATTTTCATTGTCATCCAGTGACGCAAGTCATTTTAATGACGAACCATTATGGCAATGAAAACTGTTTTACTGAGAAAAAATTGTTATATACACATTAATTAGTAGTTTATAGCTACATTAAGTTTAATGTGAACCATACTTTAATGAACTTCGTTGTTAGTTTTAAATAGATAAAGTAAAACATTCAAAATATCAGATTTGTTACTGTGACATCAATTTTTAATAGTTGAGATCATGAGTTTATTGAAACTAGACCACTATGGAAAACCTGGAAGCACTGGACGGCCGTTTCGTTTTACCGTGAACTTCCTCAGCGGTGCATATCCACGACTTCACATCTCCCGACTCGAAACCAGGACCTATCGGTCTCGCGCGCGAACACTTAACCTCTAGACCACTGAACCGGTTGGCATCCAACAGTGTTAATGTCTAACTTCATCCAATCCACGAAATTGAGCGACACATCCATCATTGTCTTCACTGTGTTACTGAGGTGTCCCATACTAAGAAGAAACGGCAGTTCAGTGCTTCCAGGTTTTCCATGGTGGTCTAGCTTCAATTGTTTCATGATCTCAAGTATTAATATAGTATAATATCCACAAAGTTAATATACATTCAATAACTTAGAGTTTTCATTGATATATTAAATGTCTCAAGCTGATCTAAAATGTAAATGTCGTACTCTAGAAAAAGTTTCCTTAATGAATCAAAGTTATGTCAGATAATTAATATTGAACAATTAAGTTGTGGTGTTCATGTATGTAAATCAACATACGTTAGTTCTTTTGAGATAGTCGAATTACACTTATGGGATTTTCAATATCATTATTCTATGACCTCGACATTAAAAATTTCATTTTTACTTAAATAAATAGAATGATAAAGAAACAAATACAAGTTTTGAGACTGTTTTCAGAAGTCAATATTTTATTTTTCTATTATAAACAGATTATTAATTAACATTTAAATATACAGGACATTTTTCTTAGAATGTTGGTAAGTTTATCTCATCTTTAACTACTTGTAAGATTCATAAGTAAATCATGTTTGTTGAGCAGTGGACTATTTGAATATGGTTTATTCCTGGGACGAAATCAGAGATGGATCATTTAACTTGAAGTCTTACTATGTTGCTATGTTTTCATATTATTGGGTTTCTCAATTGCATGTATTCAACATTAAACATTAAGTCAAATCATTAACCTTTAGGTATATCACGGAGTTTATATCAATGATCTACTTTTGTCTAATAATATCAGTGGTCAACCAGCTCACTCGAAACATGCTTCTTTTTAGAAATGAAAATCCATCTTGAAACTACTTACAAGCCAACATGGGATTACTGTGAAGTCAGGTCACCAATATAGTTATTAAATGTAATTTCATTTTTCCAGTCAACAATGAGTACTAAATCATTGATTTTTGGCACTTTGTATGAACACTGATGATGTTCTAATAATGCTATGTATTTTATTATTTACTGTGTAATCAATAAACTAAATTGTTTAATTTCTTTACCAATAGGTTAAACTTGTGTTTTCGTTTAAAAGGAACATTCGGTTTCTTCCTTGAAGATTTGAAAAAAGAATACGGGGGACAACGAAACTCATGAATTATGTAACTACTCTTACCCTGTTAAGTTTTCTTTCTAACGCAATTTCAACTATATATTTTATCTGATGAAAAATTAATGTAAGCAACAAGATTTGTCGAATGCCAAACTTTTGTATATTATAGTAGCTTCCGGTTGTTGTAACAATGAAGTCAGTCAGACACAATGTAGAACTAGGCACATATATGCATCGGTCCAAGTTGCCATACTTCAATAGCACAACACCGTATTCATAGGAGTAGTTAAGTCAATGGTGGTAATATATAAAAGAAAGATTGAACATAAGGATATAGTACAGGAGGAAAGAATTAGTTCGTAGAAAGAAGGACATGGAGTGATTTTATTCTCTTAGTTTAAGGGAAGACAGAGAGTGTATACACCGACGCCATTGTGATCGATTCTCAGCCATGTCACCTACAGTCTCCAACCATTTGTCACAATAGTCGCGTTGACCCCAACCAAGTATTCTGCATCTATCAACATGGCTCAGATTAGAAGTTAGTGACTTCATCCATCTCTTTTGCTTTCGTTGCCCACTGCTGCTCATGGTCGTTTCTTAGACTTCTGCTTAACCTAGATCTGATTTGTTTACGCTCTTCATCGTGTTCAGAACCTGATGGGATGAGTTTGCGAGAATCCATCAGTGCAATAGACCTAGAAGAAATCCATTGTCTTTTTGTAACTTTGGTTCATCTCAGTCGATGAAGATTCACAACCTCATCAACTGATTTACCATCATTCCCTAATACTCTGTGTCCAACCTCACTATTACTTACCCGGTGATCCCAGCAGACGCCAGCAACATTTCTAAGGCATCTGTGGTCAAATACTAGTAGCTTATGAATATCTTCTACTCTTAATGGCCATGTTTCGCTGCCGTAAATTAAAACAGAACGGACTGCCGCGCAGTATACTCGTCCTTTTATGGATAGACGGATATGTCGCCTTCGTCATAGGTGACGTAAGTTGGCGAAAGCCAAACGAGCTATTGGAATCCGTGCTGAGATTTGGTCAGACATCAACCCATTAGGGCTGATCAGACTTCCAAGATAAATGAAGTTGTCAACGCGTTTGACTACTGCACTCCCTATCCTTAGTTCAGGTGCTGACGCAGGACAGTCCTGAAGCAACAATTTGCATTTAGAGGGAGAGAAATGCATTCCAAACATTCTGGCATTGTTGCTTAGTGCTACCAGAAGACTCTGAATTGTATCAGCGTCTTCACCAAACAGGACTCACTACATATATTAAACAAAGATAATACCAAACTATTATAAAAATTATGTTTTTTTACGCGCTATTCAAACTTTGAATATGATGAATAGAATATTTAATAAATATTTAAGTAATTAATGAAATGATCGTATCATTAATATAAGTGAATGGTAATAGGAAATATAAAAAATGTATTAAGATTAATACAGTCTACATATCACAGATAATGGATCTTAAACAAATATTTTTCATTGATTTAAGCACAATTGTACAACAACAAAAGTCTTTCAAAAGTAAATATTCATGTTTCGAATTTCATTTGGTAAATTTATTTTGTATTTAATAACATTAACACACATGATCAAGATGAATAATTTAATTCTTACTGAAGATCTTTATTCAAAAATATTTTTAGGTATTTTGTTTACTGAAGCATTATTCTATTCATTCACTGAAAACAATCACATTAGAAAATAATGATAATCATTATTATCTTGATAAAAGTGGTACATCTGGAAGTTCAGCACTGAACTTTGATTTAATGCGTTTGGGTATTGTTATATCTTGTGCCCTGTGTCCTATTAATGTATAACGTGATAATACCATCAATTAGAGAACAGTGAATTATCGACCGGACCAATAACACATAAAACAAGTACAAGCAGTCTAGAATAATTATCGGTCCTGCTTCCCGCCTAACCCTGCCTGTTAAGTCCAGAACACCAAATTCAAACTCTACGATATGAATCATTTATTTCAAACATACTGGGTTTATATATCAACAAGACAAACCACATCATACCATAATATAGGTAACAAAATTTGTACAAGATTTAGCCAAAAGTGGATGTGAATGTGGGAGGTAGTAATTGATAGACTGGGCATAACTCAAGAATGGTAAATCGTATAATAAAAGTTCATAAACCAAAATAAAGCTTATAATAAGAGGGACACGAATATAAATAGTTTAGTTACTTAACAATTATACGATAAATATACGTATAGTATTGGTTCATAAATGGATTCCAAAAGTTACCATTCATTATTCTCATCGAGATATAACAGGGATGATCTGTTTATTTAGAGGTCTCTTGAAACATGCTGAAATTAGTAACGAATTCGATAATTATCCGATCAAGATGCGGCATATTACCCACCATAAACAGGGGCTTTCGACAAAGTTTCATTTTAACAATGTTTTTTCAGATTCTAAAGATCTTATGAAGGAATTCACAAAAACTCTTGAAGAAAGGTACATTATAACACTTTGCCATGTGTGTGTAAAAACGTGAGACTTATTTGATCAATATAAAGTGTGGATTTTTCTGATTCAATCTATATCCCAAGTAATTTTAACCCTCAATATACCTTAAGGTGTCTACTATACTACATAAAATAAAGATGATTGAATAGTTGTATAACGTAAAAACAAAATAGTTTTGTCGTTTTTCATTTGAATGAATAAGCATGTTTTCTTTAGGAGTTAAATATTCAAAATATATTAAAATAATAATAGTACGTTTAATTGTTTCCGTAGCTAATAAACTTCAAAATCATTAATTTGATATTTTAAAGAGAAATTGGGATTTATGGATCTGAAGAGGCTATACAGAGAAAATTTGAATGTAATGAAGGGTTAACACGCTTTCGAACAGTTAGTTTCATAGTATCGTTCTACTCGGTGTTAGAATTTGTTTACACAAAACAAACTGTTCAGTTAAACAATTTTAATTTCGCTTTTGAATTAAATTAAAATCTCCGACTTCACTTTCCCTGGTAGATGTTACATTGTGTTTTTCATTTATTCTATCTGAACAACATTTACAAACAGAAGTATTGAGCAAAATGTATTATTTGATTCATAATTTTCATTTAATTTACAGTAGATTTGTAGTCTTTCACTTACCGCTCAGAAATATATGTTTTTAAAGTCTAATAGCTGAATGATATCCACTTGGTAGATTGAGAGAAATTAGGAGTTTATTGGTACTTTCCCTGAAGATTTTCAATGTTTGGAATATATCATACATGACATAAAAGCGAAATTCGCAGAAGTTTTCTGCTTCAAACTGTTTTTAAAAAATGGTAATGCGTGATAATCCAATACAAAGATCAAGTATACATATAAAAAACAACTGTTCCTCTTGGAATTTTTGAAGTATAGCTTTCTTTGGACGTTTGCTGTTATGTGATTAAATCAATTAATCACGTATCATGTATGCATTAAGTGCACAGTAATTGAGATGACATTATATATACATTCCTCAACAGTCAGGTTCAAGTTGGAATGAAAACCAAATGTGCTCAAATTGATGACAAAATCGATTCCGGACTTTCTCATCGATTCTTGAACTAGAACTGTAGTTGTCTGTTAAGTGATCAATATTGATGAGGTACAATTTAGTTTGTAGGTCAATCATAGGTAATGTAGTACCAAATAATGTCTAGAAAAGTTTTTGAAAGCTCTCTTAATTAACTGCTAATGCAGCATAAACAATATTTATTCAGTGTGGCTGCATCTTACAATCTTTAAAGGAATAATTGAGAATTAGATAAACTTATTTCACAATAAGTTAGACTAATTTATACATTCTCGCATTGATCTAAATGAAAGTTATACGTCTCGAGTATTGGTTGATTTAGAACACACAAACTGTTTACTCATATGCAGTGACTGATATAATTAAGTGATTTATATGAACAAGCATATCTTATAGTTCAATGTGAATACCTAATAATTTCTTGTAACATGCCGCAAAACAGTGAGAATTATACTTACTTTAAAATAACAGCAGGTTAGGTGTCTCATTCTTTGTTTGACTGGCGAACCTTACTTTATATGCAACTATGAGAAAAGGTAAAAGTGACCCTGCCAGACTTTATTGATTTCTTAGCCAAGGGGAATAAAGCATATTATATTACAAAAAACTAAGAAATTGGATTAATATACACTTTCTATGCGGTCAATAAACTTCCTGAGGTTCGAAACAAGATAGTAGGTTAAGGTTCGAAATAAAGTTTTGCAAATAAAATAATTAAAATTAAGAGTTACATTTGAATTACGGCTTGGGATAACAGATGGCCTTAGAAATTAAGATTTATTAAAAAAATTAAAAAGTAAAAATGCCTTGTAATCAATCAGTTCTTTCATTTCAATTCTCAATATCGAATAAGTTACATTGATAAGTTTGTAGCGTGGTGTCGAGAAGTAGTTGACTATGAACACCGCTACCAAGGAACGTGTGCTAGGATATCCATAAAATCCCACGGAAGCCAAATATCAGAGGGCAATTAATGGACCAAATCGAGATATATTCGCTGGCGATCTCGTGGTATCGAAAGGATACCGAGATGGTGCCAGGATACAAGCTTGGTTACAGAACGTAACCGAATTCGCGCGAGGTCACAATCAAAGTGTGGGAATAATAATGGAAGCATAATATAGCTGCCATTAGCACAGTTAAACTAAGGGCACATTAAAACAAGCACAGGTACAATTGGTTATAATAGTAATAATTGTTTTCATTAAACCAATCGTGTTGTCGTGATAAAAGTGAGTCACTACAAGTTCATAGATTATGCCGATTGTCACATACACACTATACCTATTTGTGTATTATTATTTCTCAACGTCACTGTCACAGTCGCTCAAGTTTTCCCCGATTCTCTAATTTGGCCACCTTCATCAATTTCAAGCATTTTACTAACTTAATATCTGTAGGTTTTACTTCGCTCTTAACAAGATACAAATGGACCATCATCGTACATTAAAATTTGCAATCCTCTTAAATCTCATTAATCCGTCGGTAAAGTATAATTCTAGTGTCTAAACTTGCTTATAGCCAGAAATATTTCGGTGAAATTTTCAAGTTTAAAATAAATGGATCCATTCTATATCATGGTCGGTATCAGTGAACAGATCTCACTGTTAATTAATTTCAGAATACAGCCCACATGTTAATTTCTAGTGCTTATGAAAATTTTTAATAAAACTAATTTTTGTGACCAATATTATTTTAATGATTATGATTAATAAACTAGTTATCCTGTCAAACACACAGTACATAAGTACTCAAAATGTAACACTTATTAAAATTCAAAGCTGTGTACATTATTTATACAATTTCCAGTAAATATCCGGTGTAAATTGAATAGTTTTAATGTTACAAATGAATAAAAGGAATGATATTTAGTGATATGTTTTGATCAAATCGGTTGTGATCTCACTGAAAACCAGATCATTCAGCTATTTAGATAAGCCTTTTAACAAAGCACATATTATAGTTAACAAATTATATTTTTCTCGACTTCATGTATATATATACATATATAGTAGTTTGACTAAACTTTAGGAAAATGAAGTTTCATGTTCATAATAACTGTTAACCGAGAGAAGAATATCAAAGCAATTTTCGAATAATTAAATCTTACTTTGGTTGATAAGAGACAACTCAACTGTTTACATAGTTAAGGAAAACATATAAATGTTTACACACGTAAACTAAAACAGAGTTACATGTTCATGTGACTAAAACATGGCTACGTTGTCTCTGGAAATGTAAACAAAATGATCAAAGTAGTTTGAAAAAATCAAACGTTAATTTTAATTTTTGCTTCTTCCTCATTTATTCTTATCAATGTTAAGTTTGAAGAATTACCTGACTAAATGTACGTAGTACTGAAACCCTGAATTCGACGGCACATAATCAAAATATAAAGACCGATGATATGGATTTCTCTGATCATGAAAATAGATCAACCTAATATCTAAATATGCTAATTTTTGTTTAGTTTGTTTAAAGTCGGATCGGTATTCAAATTTGTATAATTTGAACTGAGTATTTTCTATTATCTGTTAATCAACAACTTGCTTTCTGAATGTGTGTCTTTAGTTTCATACTGATTTACTTTGACAATAACTAAATTTTTCACTTTTGTTTCTGTCGTGTCATCTTTCCACTTACTTTAGCAATCATTCACAACTATTTACAATATTTTTCTATCATTCAAAGGTCAGTAGGACAAATTAAACGATATCACAATTCATCATCTCAGTCTCCATTTCGATCGAAAATACTTTCATTAATGTAAAGTCATTAAGCAATGATAACACATAATATATGTAACACGATTTAAATTGTTGCATGCAGTTTCATATGTACCTTTTGGAATTCATAGTGCGTTTTGCACGTTAGAACGGATTCTTATGTTAAAAACACACACAGCGAATCTCGCAGCACTCCAAAAACGATAGTCTTTGGTATGTAGTGATCTGAGTGACTAATCGCGATCTATTAACTTACTTTCGCCTCGACAGTATGGTTATAAGAAGGGAAATCTCTCTTTGACTAAACTGCTGACTGGGGTGAACAGATGGACAACCGTCCTTGATCGCAAGAAGAAGGTTGGCGTCATATACTTTGACTTCTCAAAAGCTTTTGGTAGGATCAACCACATATGTCTTATCAATAAGCTCAAACGATGAGGTATCAAAGCATCATTAATTGGTTGACTTAATTCTCAGTGTATAGTACTAGGACCTCTCCTTTTCTTGATTTACATAAATGAATTTCCTCAGCGAATACTGTCTTATTTCACCACATTTCTCTCAAGATGTGAAAATTTTTAGAGTAACGTTTACAACCAAGATGATGAACTGGCATTTCAATAGGATAATACTTGGCTTCATAGTTGTGGGGTTAAGAACGGGCTTTCTTTCAATACTTTGAAGTTAAAAAAAGGTCATTTAAAACGTTTTAGAGAATAGGTAGATAGTGTAGGTAACTTCACTCTAGAGGTATCGCAAGTCGAAAAATATCTAGGAGTGTTGGTACCTCATGATCAAAAGTTCTTACGTCAAACGACAAAACAGCCCTTCTAGCGATACGTGCACTAGTAACATTAAAGCACATTTTCAGGTAGTTTGACTTCAGAACTCTCTACTTTAACATTTTCATTCGACCCCATTAAGAATATGGAAATTTTGTGTTTCCTCTCTTACTTTAGATGGATAAGAATATTCCGAAACAGTTCCAACGGCGAGCCGCAAAATCAATGTGGGGACTCAAATGGCCATCTCAGAGTTGACATTGAAATGACTTATAGGATCCAAAACACTCCTGGAGACTCTCTCAAATTTATATTCAGCCTACTTTTAAGACAAACCTAAGGGCCAGCCTCGGAAATTAGAGACACAACATAGCACAATAAACAATAATCACACCTTATGCACTGTACTAATAGTCGAATTCCGGTATTCAGTACTGTTTGCAGTGGTCCAAGCGTCTAATCTTCAAGAAAAGCCTGGCATATTCTGAGGGAATTGGGACAGTATTTCATTAAAATTCACTAACATGTTTTTGTAGTAACTAAATATACTTTGATTCTTACCTAGAATCCCCCGTGAACTACTGTTAATAAATAAGGAAGTCCGTCAAGAGAAAGTTCCTCCTTTTCTGCCCACAACCATTTGAATCATTTGCATTATCTTTTATCATCACTAACTTGCTCTTATCTCTATTTTAATCACTACGGTTTTAATTCTACTCACACACTTATGTTTATCAAAACTGTCCGCATTCGTAATCAATATATTTACTTTTTGAAACAATCATCTTCTGTTTACATCCTAATTTTTTCCACTTCTCTCCACATCGCAGTCAATCAAATCTCTGCCTGGAGGTATGGTAGCTCCTGATTCCAGAAGCTTGACTACACTAAGACAAATCCGTTCAACTACTCAACAAGATTTACAAAGCCACAGCTAGTTACAAAACAGACTAGATCTAGTGCATTTGAGTATCTAGAACACCATCCAATGAACATTACTAAAAGACTGTGGCCAATTTGAAGCAAAGATAAGTTAGAGAAAGAAAAGCAAATAGTGTATACTTGTTCCTGTAAAAGACACTGAATATGTTAGATATTGGATAGTGAAATGGATCCTGGCCTGGACATGGTCCATTCCGCTATACTGAAGGAAGCAGCCACAATCTTGGCAACTCCGCTTAGCATGATGTTTTCACACTCGCTAAGTCGAGGAAATGTACCGGAAAATTGGAAGCTGGCTCACACCACACCAATTTTCAAAGGAGGTCGACGCAAAGAACCTTCAAGTTACCGACAGGTGACTCTTCTCTCCATACCCTCAAAAATCATGGAGTCCCTGATATGTGTTGATATAAACGACTATTTACTGTCCTTAAAAATCTTCTCACCCCAACAGCACGGTTTTAGGAAGGATTACTCTTGTATTACCAAACTGCTGACTGAGGTGGACAGATGGACAAGCATCCTTGATCACAAGGGGAAGGTTGATATCATCTACCTAGATTTCTCAAAAGCTTTTGATAAGGTTAACCATATATGTCTTATCAACAAGCTCAAACGATTGGGAATCAGACCACCTCTAATCGATTGGCTCACTTCATACCTGAAAAATCGACATTTTAAGGTCAGGGTTAATTTCACTTTCTCTCAGGCTATGGAATGTCCGAGTGGGGTCCCCCAGGGCTCAGTACTAGGATCTCTTCTCCTCTTGATCTACAGAAATGATCTTCCTCGACAGGTGAAGTCAGACTTACTACGTTTCGCCGACGACGTGAAACTTTGGATAGAGATACGCAACCAAGACGATATACAGGCACTTCAGGATTATCTGACTCGACTTCAAAGTTGAGCAGACGATAACGGACCTAACTTTAACACTTCAAAGTGTAAAGTAATCCATCTGCGACATGTCGCAGACTACAGTTATAGCTTAGGTAACTCCCCTCTAATAGTATCTCAGGTCGAAGAAGATTTAGGAGTCTTGGTGCCCCACGATTTAAAGTCTTACGCTAATTGTGACAAAAATGCCTTCCGAGCAAACCTTGCACTGGCAACATTGAAGTGCACTTTTGGCCAGTTTGACAGAGGAACTTTCCGTATAATCTTCAATAGTTTTATTCGTCCGCATTTAGAGTACGGAAACATAGTATCTCCACCCTCACTCAAAAAGGATAAGGACACCCTAGAGCGTATTCAACGGCGAGCTACGAAATCAGTTCGACGACTCAAATTTAAACCTTATGAAGAGCGCCTTTATTCACTTAACCTTTACCCATTAGAGTATAGACGTCTTAGAGGTGACCTTATGATGGCTTATAGTATACTTAACACTTTTGAACATCCTCTCAAACACCTAATAAAGCTTAGTTCCAACACTAACCTAAGGGGTAACACCCAAAAACTGGAGACTCAACATAGCAGAACGGAATGCAGACACAACTTCTACTTCTTAAGAGTTGTAAAATGCTGGAATTCGCTGCCGGCCGAGCTAGTCCAAGCAACTTCCCAGGAGTCATTTAAGAGACAACTTGATCTATTTTTAAGGATTAAGGATAGTATCGCACTATGATCTATCAATTTCTTTTCGTGTTTTATTGTTAACATAACTATGTTCGTGCCTGGAGGATTCGGTGATTCCCTGCTACTAAACACGGAAGCCTGTTAAGCGAAAGCTTCTTCTATTCCGTCCACAACCATTTGAACCATTTGAACCATTTAGCGGTATTTTCAAAGCTCTAGGTCAAGTAAGGTAATCCAGATGGCTCTCAAAACATGGGAATTCGTATAAGCGTACTCTTCATAAAAGTCTATATATTGACAGCCATATACTTCATAGCAATTATTTGTACAACCAGAAATCATGATTATGAATACTCGCATTCTTTGAAACTAAGCAAGGTAGCTGTTTTAGCATATATATACTGTTCAGATTCCTAATGATTCTTATATACTAATCCACACTTTGGGAGGCGAAATTTTATGTGTTCATAGACGCTCTGGACATGTAAAGTGGAAGTTTGATTCTGGTATGCTTTTTCTTAATTCTCTTCATTCTGTTGTTTTAGCCTCTGCTCTTAGCGCGAGTTATGACAATGGGTAGGTTAAATACCTTTCTAGAGCCTTCTGTAGGCCATTACTGGTTGTAGATCCAATTAGCGGTTCTCTCTATGAATATGCAAGTTCCGTCTCAGAATTCTTATTTCAACTGTTGGATCATTCCATCATGGGGCACGTCCGACGTTCTCCTGCATACTACAAAAACTACTTATCTCTCGGTAATTGGTTTTATTTGCTAACCGGTAGAACTTCAAAGTTCCTCAGGGCTTATCCAAAATGAAAGATTAGCATGTCATTAAGTCATTATTTCATTAAATGTTTCATTTTTTCTATAGTTACCTGAGTTACTGTTCTCATTTTTGTTTATCTTGCAAACAATAACGCCTTTTTGGGAATAGCAAGTGCTGCTTTCTGGGGGCCCACACTGATATAACCTACTGATATAACCTAACTAGCGTTTTCCTGTTGTATGTACTTCGGAATCATATTTTATTTGTCAGTATTTTCTTATGTGGCCAGTAAAATCAGTAATATGTTCCACACATTTATTAGTCCATGAATTAAGTAATCTACGCCTAGATCGTTCTACGTTGTTTATGGACACCCCTCTCAACTGTACTGAAAAAATGTATAAATATCTATTTTGAATCCTCAGTATCATACTTGTGGTCTATGGTTAAGTTCACATAGCTGATCTTGTATTTCTACAGATTGTTATTATATGACTCGCTTCTAACTACCTCTATAAGATCCGGTTTTAAAAATCATTTTTATTGAGGTTTTGTATCTGAAGTAATGTCGTGCTCCTAATCCGTCTAGCATTTTAACGTACTTATCAGGTAAATGTGATATCAGTTAATTTCGGTTCTCATTCATCTGAACACGTTTTTCTAGAGAAGTAACAAATGACTGTTTTCTCCTTCATTATAGTTGATGACGTTATCTTTCATAAGAAAAGTTAAAACGTGGGACATAAACACAGCTTCAGGTTTTTACAACACATTACAGAATGATGAAATTATCGAGATGAATTTAAAAGCAATAGCAATTTTAATATTGATTGTAGTTAGAAAGATTAGAGATAAAGATTATGGTCAGAGAACTAATAAATTTGTGGATTATAGTAATTTCGCACATCTAGAAGTTGATAGAGTGAATGCATCTTAGCCATGTCACTAAATGTCTCCTACCACTGATCACAGCAATCGTATGGACTCCAACCAGATAATCTTCACCAACAAACAGGACTCATATCAACAGTCAACGACTTCATGGATTGGTGTCAGATCTTGGTCTGACAGCCGCTAGCTTTATCTTTACTTCTCCGTCAGCCATCATCATTCACCGGTCCTCACTTGGAATTCATCTCCACGCACCACTTCACAGTGTAGTCTGTCGTATATATCCCGTATGATTCTGACGATCTTCCTAGGTAAACCATGGTGTCGAACAAGGTTCTGTAGGGTTCTGTCCATACCGTCAGACACGTTCCCATAATCAAACAATTTGATTTATAGAGACCAGTTCTATTCAATTGACTCTTCGACAATGATCGTGGTGTTGAGATTTAGCTTGTGTACGACCGATTCTTATTGAATTCAGCCTGTTGATTTCGGAGTTAGGCGTCTACTGAATATTTTGTTCAGTTTAGTTACTGCTGTCGAAAACTTTTTCTAGTACTGATTGTAGTGTGATGCCTCTGTAGTTTTCACAATTGCTTAGATCTGTCTTTGTCATCTTGATTAAGTATCATTCTTTTCAGTTTGACGGCATTGGTTTCTCCTCCAACCCTGTCGTAACGTTTTTGAATCTTATCGACTAGCTTGTGCTGTCATGTTAATTGTTTAATTTTAAATATTGTTTGCGAAGAGGTAATGTCAGGATATATGAGTTTGGATAGTAGTGGAGTAAATAGTTCGTGTGATGAGGTCTATGACATGAATATATAAATTCAGTTATGGGTGAATAGAACAAGGAGACGATATCACAGAAACTCTCTCAGTTCAGTTAATTAGTCAGCTAGAAGTAGGTCGGTTGTCTTTTCTTAACAAAGTAAATAATCTTTCGAAATATATTTTTGTATCTAAAAATGCTTGCCTATGTCATTATATTTATTAATAAGGTTCTAAATCGGACTTTTGGACCTCTGTGGATATGAATTCAGGGAAAATTTTCGAGTCAGTATTTCAAAATTACGTGGATAAGTGCCCAACTTCATTCAATAATGAGAATGTTGACAAACTGCAAAATTCTGCTGAAGAAGAGACTGATATAATCAACCTTGGAAGAACTCAATATAACCTAGTACTTCGTGATCGTTTTACTGGTTTGGTGAGGTGAGTTATCACTGTTAACCCATATAGTAGTATGCGATGAACATAATTTTGAATTTAAAGTATCTTGATTATTAATCATTGTTGATTGCTGGCCTAGAGCAGTATCTTAAGCATTAACAAGGTATAAAAATCCTCATAGTTATCAAAGGCTAACAATCGTAGTGTTCCTTGACATCAGGGCTGCCTTCGATTCGTTAGATAGGACTGTTCTCTGGGATTGTCTATTGAAGAAGGGTGTGCCTGAGAAGTTTATTAACATCCTAAAGGCCCTATATACAAACACCTCAGGCAGAGTGAGGGCATACAACCACCTCTCTCCATTGTTCCATTCGAGCAGTGGGGTTAGGCAGGGTTGCCCAATCTCACCATTCCTCTCCAACTTTGCCATCGATGACATTCTGGAAACAGCTCTGATGAATGTAAGTAATGGTGGTGTGGATCTGTTGCCTGGAGAAAGACTTCTCGACCTTGAGTATGCGGACGATATTGTCTTACTGTGCGATAATGCCCAAGGCATGCAATCCGCACTTAATCAGTTGGCAATCAGTGTCCGTAGGTATGGTATGTGCTTTGCACCTTCGAAGTGCAAAGTACTTCTACAAGACTGGCAGGATTCTAATCCTGTACTCACCCTGGATGGCGAGCAGATAGACGTAGTCGAGAAGTTCATGTATCTGGGTAGCTGCATAAGTGCTGGTGGGGGTGTGAGTGATGAGATCAATGCACGTATAGTGAAAGCCAGAGTGGCTTATGCCAATCTGGGCCATCTTTGGCGCCTTCGTGATGTTAGTCTGGCTGTAAAAGGTCGGATCTACAACACGTCGGTGAGAGCAGTTTTGCTCTATGCTTGTGAAACCTGGCCTCTCCGAGTTGAGGACGTTAGACGACTCTGGGTGTTCGATCATCGCTGTCTCCGAAGTATTGCTGACATTCAGTGGCAACACCATGTCAGTAATGCAGAGGTTCGGCATCGTGTGTTCGGGCACAGAGATGATAATTCAATTGGTGTCACCATCTTGAAGCACCGACTTCAGTGGCTTGGACATGTTCTACGAATGTCGTCCCAGAGAATTCCACGTCGTGCATTATTTGCCGACGCTGGGACTGGTTGGAAGAAGCGGAGAGGTGGTCAGTGCATGACATGGTGTCGTGGTATGAAAGAAAGCTGCAAAGGACTGGCTTGTGTCGGTCCTTCACGACTCCCTGGTTGGGGTCTGAGAGATGGTGCTACACAGTGGCTGGAGACGTTATCAGATATGGCTCAGAATAGAAGCCAGTGGCGATCCTGCTGTAATCTTCTTTTACTTTCTTCATAAAAAGTGGTTGTGTCTCCCTTACTTGAAAGATTTCTTCTGATTGTACCTTTCCGTTCCCTCGTTACTACCACACTACCTTACACCAATCTCTTCGTTATCGTTCTCTTTTTCTCTTGCGCTCCTTAGTTTTTTTTCTATCTCTTCGAATTTTCATTGTTTTGTGTGGCGCATATATATTGGCGCTCTCTTGTACCATAGTTATCAACATTAGTTTTGAGTTGTTTGGAAAGTGTTTATTTATTTGGATTTATAAAACACTCAAAATAATAAATCCGAAAATTTAATATTGTTAGAAATTGATCTCAGTAGTGCTTAAATACATTCATTTTTTGACTTCGCGTCCCCAATTTCTTTTTCGTCTTTCTTACGGTTATTTACTATCATTTTGTATTTAATAATGTTTCTGCAGCTATATAGCACGGGTCCATTTGTAATGTGAGATTAGCTATGACAACCAACAGTTGTTTTTCAGCTAAGTGTAGTTAATTTAAACATTAGCTTATTATTTTAACTGTTTGGTAATAATTTATGTGATCACCAATACATTTAAATTAATTTAAAGTGGAATAAAATATATATAACTTGAAAACTGCATACAGTTGTTCATATGGACTGTACATCTGCTAGGTAACTTGATATAGTTGGTGTAAAATCTTGGATCTAGGTTTCGAGCTATTTAGCATTCCCCAACAAGATTTACCCGTAATCTCTGGGGAACTTATGCACCCCGGTGAACTCCAACTTGCATCACTCAGCTTCACAGTCCAAGATATTACCATTGAGCTGTTCAGGACATGAAACTGTCCTTCCCTAGGACTGAGATATTTACGACTGACTGATCACCCAGTAATAATCAGTGTCATGTTTGTCTAGTCCTTTTGGTGCTTCCTGAATTCCACGGCCTAACATCTAAACATAGTGCACATTATGTCGAGTCACTCACGCTAGTGACCACATTGCAACTTTATCGATCAACACTAAGAGGACATGACAGTCACTAGACCTCCTGTGTATAAACTAAACTTTTTGGTCACTTAAACCTTGCGAAGTAAACCATAACTTTATCTCAATAAATGGGAATTTTATGCTGAAGTAAATAAGTTCAAGCGGTATGTTATAATCCGTATGCGGCAGTCAAGTCAGTGAGTTAGTATGATTTTGTTTAACCACTTATAACGATGTTTGCGATACATGTTAAAATAGAATTTTATGATTTAAGTAGGAGATACGACTACCTGTTGATGAAAGTTCTCATTGGTTTTCTATGCTCTTCAAAATATTTAAAGTAATAATTAATGATCTTGTTAACATCAGTAATAGCTTTATCCATGCTTGATTCTAAGCATTATTTTATGCTGTTGAGTTTTTTAATAATCAGTTATTATGGTCATCTATTTAGTTCTTATTCTTTTTTCTCTGTTCTTTTTATTAGGCTTAATATCACTTACAATACGTTCGCCTCTCATACAGAAGCAGATTTACAAAATTATGGTTCGTAAAAAATAACGTTTGTAATTAATTTTTAATTGTTACATTATTCAAATTGCTATTTTTAGCGAATATGTGAAATTGTGGTAAATTTGGATTGGTTAAACAGTAATCAACATCGGAAAACCTAGAAACTTTTAGTCCATGACTCTTTTAAGTATAGAAAGATTCAGTCGGTCACAACAAAGACTAGAACAAAACAATCTTTTAGTATAGTGAAATTATTAGCTTCGTTGTGAAGCTTTCCATCCTTGTCAGATAATCCTTCCATATTGTTTTCATTGACTCATAAAGTACATTGATTGGTTTCATATTTTTCATGTGTGCACCTAAGAATTATTATATATTATAGTGAAACTTGATGATTTAATATAAACATTTGTTTACTTGCTATTAATTTTGTGATTTTGAACATTTATATCACTTTTAATTTTCACTGTTATTTAACAGATTTACAGCACGTTGCTATTACTCAACCGGCCTTATTGACCTTTGAAGGGTCTAAGTGTAAGTTGACAAAGTATATATTTTTTCCAAAACTTGCACATTTTAGAGTAAATATATTATGAACTGCCGTAAATAGTTTCAGTTAACTCCACTTAGTAATCATATGTAGGAAGTCTGGATGCCAAATGCTTTGCTGCACTCTCTGCTTCACCTGACATTCCAGATAATGATTAGACATATTATATGGCTTCACTGTATCAATCGATATTAATTCAGAACTTTACTCTTCATGTTACTTCAATATTAGTTACGTGTTATATGTAAGGCTCCATTTCCAGGCACTCCAATTTTAATTATTGCACCATGTAGTTGAACCCATTCAGTTGACATTTAAGTTATAGCATTAACCTGAGTGCGATTAATAGCCTGTAGATGTGTCTACATTGGTTTTCCAATATAGTTGTTCCTATCACAATACAGCATGAGCTGAAATCTAACATACAGAAGTTTCTATCTCATGGATGAATGGTCCATATTGTCATGTTTAATTTAATTCGCATCACAACGGGACATTTGTCCACTACCAACCTTAGGTAAATGTCTCACTCTCGATGTAGTTGATCTCCACAGGTCACAATCAGTCAGAGTTGTTATTGCTTTTGAAATTTATTCTTCATCAACCTGCTCATTATTATTCTTAGAATTTAGATCACACTCATTATAGATGTTTTAAATTTTAAAAGACGTTTCGCAGATATCTCCACATATGTGGATTTTCGATATGCTGATTGTATGTTCAAGGAGTTAAATTGATTAGATTCAACTATATACTTTTGCAAATTAACATACCTATCCTAAAAGATTCTTGGTTATTTCACAGCTTATTTGGATTTAGTTTCTGCTCCGATTATATTTTCCTTTTTATGAAACAATACAGAATATCTTACCAAGTAATAATGAGAGCTCTGGAGTCATCTTAGGCTACCAAAAGCCAAGTCTCTTAGATAAAAATGGGGTTAGGTTATGAGATTCCACTTTGTAATTTAAAACTCAACGTAGTCATATAATATCATTCAATCCACCAAGACATGTTGCATGAATTTTCATAACACCTATAAATGAACAAGTAATCACACTAATCAGTAGCCACTGTTAATCAGATTAGCGATATCGAATCATCATAATTGTATTATTTGAACATTTTTTACTGTTGACCCCTACATTCCAGTTGTTTCTTATCTTCACTTAATTTCCAGCATTTAAAACCTACTCGAATCACTATTTCCAAAAATACTCAACTTTTAGAAAATTCAGATAATTTTAGATATTTTAATGATAAAATAAATATCTATTCGACTTTTGAATTCTGTTTTGGGTGACTAAAAGTGATTCTAATCTAGTATGTTTGTAGTTCACAGCTACATTTATTGATAAGCAATCCGTTGGTAAGTGATTTTAATTTACAGTTGTCCATATGCAGGACTCCAAGTGATTAGTCTTTGTTACCATATGGGTAGCCTAAACAGATTGCTTTTATATAGCGTTGTATTGCAAGTGTTTAGCGTATTTCAGTATGTGACTAGCAGTGAAACATAAGACGCTCACTTTGTCTTATTAGGGATTCATCAGATGGAACAGTAACGTGTTTGTCGGATAGTATATACGTTAGTAAACCTATTCATTCCCTTATCTTATTGTCATTAATATTTTCAGATTTTGATGTATTCGATTTTATGTATCTTTTCTTCCCCAGTAATATGGAGTCTACCGTTATCATCTCCTGTAATCGGCATGTATGCATTATGGTCACCGTCTGATTCATCATCTAGTGTTCATGCAACGAACGAAAACACCAATAATAATATTAATAGCAATAACAAAGAATCCATAAAAGAGACAACTAAATTACCACGAATCCTTAGACGTATCGCATTTACAACTTATGCATTAGATTTACATAATATGACAAATCCTACAGATGACCAAATTTATGATGAATTGGAAGCGAAATTTAATGGAACGTTAGATTTAGCGTACGTCCTAATCTTAATAATTTTTATATTTGTATGGAACATCGTAATTATAATTGATTTTGTAATTATATATATCCGTTAAATTTTGTTGTGAACTCATCACGTTTATAATCAAATTAAGTAATATTGTGTTGACGAAAATCTCCTCTTTTGTCTTTTTGTTGTGGTATAGACTTTTTTTCCCGATCATTTGAATCAAGAGTCAGTTCTCAATGGCTATGATAGCTGAATGATTTTCAGTATTTTTAGAACTTTTGTCGACTCTTGAATTAATACTGGTTGACGACATAAATACTCAATATTGTAATAAGTATGATCAAGAAATGATGTTTAAAAGATATGAATCCTACCACATTTCTCTCCTTGAATTTACTTATATTATTTTAAAGAAATCTAAACATTCAACTGCATTCTTTTGTTGATGTAATATCCATCAACAACTGAACGACAGGTATACTGCTTAACTCTGTATTAGTTTATGGTTGGAGAACTTGACTATTCTAGGTCAAAAACACGACGGCGGGTTTCTTCAAATTATTGTTTGAGTTTGATAAAACCTTCGTCTGAGCTATATAGGTTTTAAAGTGTAACTGGCCGATATAGTTGGGACATGCGTTATACTTATTAAAACACTGCCTACTTTAAAGCTCAATTCTAGCTAGTATATTAGTAGGTTAGGAAACGTTAGGAGCCGTCAAGTTAGAACATAGGATCAGTCTATAAAGTCATCGACAGTTGGTCTTACCTATGTGAGCGAACATTGACTTCCTGCCTGGTTTACACTTGGTAACCATCGTCTACGGTAGAATGTGTTAGAAGAAGTAGCTTGAAATTTCTCCCAGTGGTTTACTTTACTCGTCCCTAAATCTTCCTTTATTACTGAGGTTTCCATATTATCTATTACTTCCTATTCTTCTTCTTAAACTATGTCCTTATTGTTTTGCAAATTATGTTAATCTTTTCTCGCATTACAATCTAGTTTTACCATGTTAAAATGATTTCAATATTATAATTATTACAGAACTTCATTTGTGGATTATTGGGATAAAATGAAAAACAGACTTCATACCTTTAAATTTTCTATGAGTTTTTTGTACTTACACTGTATTGCACCATATACGATCGATTGATTGATTACAGATTAGTAATGAGTGTCATGTTTATCTATCCCTTTAGTATTGATCGAATTCTGTCGATCAAGTTGTGATGTGACTACTGGTCTAAGTGATTGGACATACCTGCCCTGTATTTAGATGTTCAATGGATCAAGGTAGTCGTCATGAGATATTTTTAGGACTGATTTGATAATCACTCAGGTTGTTTACCTAGAATACTAATCTAATTATTTGAACAATGTAAAATATTAAGACAAACATTTGCGTAATTGCCATACTATTCGTTATTTTATACTTACCCATATGATTAATGATATCCTTTACTCATATATGTTTTATATGTACGCTTGTTGGTATACATTTGTCTATCTACTTATTTATTCTATCCATTCTCTATTCGAACTGCGTATAAATACACTTATTAACTTATATTTTGAGTCTTTTGGTATGCTAATTCGATTTTTTATTCGTATGTTCGTTAATCAGGATCTGTACTCCACTGAAGTCAAATGTGCTACCATAACTGGTAAACATTTAGTCTGTCAACTGTGAATATTATATACAAATAATTGTTAACTTTTAGATTCATTAATAACTTTGTGGATAATGAGATATTTCAATTATTTTATGGTTTTACAGACCTTCATTATATATTGGACGTTCAAAATCAACTCCAGTTTACGCTTTGATGTGTCTAGCAGAGGCTACATTACGAATACGTGGTTTACGTAGAGCATCTGAAATGTATATGTTGGAAGGTCCGAAAAATTTAATTGTCATGGGTAATAATCAACAAACTACTACCACTACTAAGACTACAATTACTACTGATACAAATAATAATAATAATCACAAAGATAATTGGCCAACTGGTCTAATCGGTTTATATGAATTACCTACAAGTTATAAAAAAACATCATCATGGGATGATAATCGGATTGATGACCAACCAATGTCTACACTGAAACGTGGCAAACGATTAAAGCGCTTATCGTCCATATCATCATCGGATTCGTCTACAATGTAAGTTGGATAAATCATTGCCATATATGTGTAAAGTTCATTCAGTTTGTTATAAATGAAGTATGAGATTTGAACACTAGATATTAACTAAATCAGATCTGTAGGGCTAAAAATGACTAAGCTGACTGGGCAACAGGTCAATAGTTCACCATACTTGATCACGTGATACATTCGACCCAATTATCTGATTAGCAGTTGAAAACCAAATATTGATGACAAGTATTTATTGTGACACAGTAGTTTCTTTTAATTAATACAGATGGAAATGGTCTGTCTTCGTTCACCGAATAATCACGGTTTGTTTTCACCTTATATATCGCAATCTTTTAAACGCTGGTACTTGCAATTGTTTGTTGTTCAGTCATTTTATGCCATAAGTCGGTTTAGGCACCCAAGCAGTATCGCAGCCTTCACACATATCGAATGAGATTTGTGTGGCACATATGTATTTATTGTCTCTTTGTACCAATATCTATGTGTTGAAATAAATAAATAAGTATATTCGAGAATCCCCTAGATTTGTTTTAACTCTAAATAGCTTATCTTACTCTGAATCTATACGACTTACTAACCGATTATAAGTTTGATGTACTCGCCTTTAAACTTCACATTTTCCAAAATGACAGGTGAAACAAAAATAAATGATGTGAGGGTTTGAACCCATAATCTATTGGTTAAAAACCAAATCCAATTAAACACTGAATCACAACTTGGCGAAAAAAAGTGACTAAGTAATCTCTGCTCAGAAATAAATGTCCATTAGGTTAGCAGAAGTCTAGGGTAAACATATGGCTAATAATTATTAACATCAAATTACAATGATTTTTATAAATGTTATCGTAAATTAGTCAAGTTCCTTTTCCAGTCTAAAAGTTGTAGAGATGTCTTTGAATTCATTCTTTCGGTTTGAAGATTTTGATCAATACTGTTTGCCTGTGTACAAATGCTCAATTCTTAAATCGTTTAACCGACCTAGTCGAACTTTATTTTGGATTTTTTAGAGATCTTTCAAGGAAATACCATGTTGTTTGAACGGTCTGTAATAAACCCACTAAAAATATGAGTTTCATGTTTAATAAACCAAACACTATATTTTATTGATAAATCTGACTGAACGCTTGAATCGGTTTCCTAAGCTCTTCTAATAACCTCATGCTAAATCTACACAACAACGTGGACATGAGATAATAGGTGCAAAATGTGGAGAGTGTTCTTTACTCTAAGGTTAGTTTATGGGCAGAAATTCGAGAGTATTTATACCATTTCAAATGGCTTTGGGCTTCTGCAAGGTTCTGAATCCCTATTAAACATAGAAGCAGGATAGGCAATCATAACGTTTCTAGCTGTTCCAGGTAGTAATGTCTCCGCTCTGTATCCGTCCATCATCTTTTGTCTCAGTCAGTCAGTAACAACGTAGAAATTCGTACGTACGTACATCAGTTCGAGTTGCCACACCACATTAGCACAGAAATGCAGTTGTCGATTCAAATCCCGTAGTGGTAGAGGTAATAAGAGTATAAGCAATAATCGGGAAGATTAGGGTTTGGAGATGTTATTTAAAGAGTATAATACAGCGAAATAAATTTGGGAAGAGAAAAAAGAGAGACAAGGAGGAATAAGAAGATCAAAATTTGGGAGAACACAAAGAGTGGATGCACCTGCGCCATTGCAAACGATCTCGAGCCATGTCATTCAGGGTCTCTAACCATTGGTTGCTATCATCTCGCGGTCCCCAACCAGGTAGTCTACACCTACCGACATGACTCAGTCCACTTGTCAGTGACTTCATGGACTTGTGTCATGTTTTGGTCTGGCCGCCCCTAGCTTTCTTCCAACCTACTCCTATACCACTGAACATCGCACGTCGAGGCAGTCGGTCGTTGGGCATATGTAAAACGTGTCCCAGCCATCTCAACTGATGAACTTTCACTACTTCATCAATTGATTAGCCATCCTTACCTAGTACCTGTTTCCTATCAACTGCATTACTTACTCGATGGTCTCAGGATATACGAGCAATATTTCGAAGACACCTATGATCGAATACTAGTAACCTACCAATATTTTCTACTCTTACCGACCATGTTTCACTGCCATAAATTAGAACGAAACGAACTGCTGCGCAGTAAACACGTCCTTTGGTTGATAGACGGATATCTCGCCTACGCCATAAATGACGCAAGTTGGCAAAAGCTAGTCGAGCCTTCTGTATCCGTGCTGAGATTTCGTCACAAATCAGACCACAAGGGCTGATGAGACTTCCAAGATAAGTGAAGCGATCGACACGCTCAATTACTTCACTACCTATCATTAGTTCGGGTGTCGATGCAACCCAATCCTGAAGCAACATTTTGCATTTCGAGGGAGAGAATCGCATGCCGAACATGCTTGCATTGTTGCTTAGAGTGGTCAGAAGACTCTGCATTTTGTCAGCGTCTTCACCAAATGAAACTATGTCATCAGCATATTCTAAGTCAACAAGTGAACCTCCTGGTAGAAGTTCAACCCCTGGAAATTTAGATGAGAAAAATGTCATCTCTAAAAGTACGTCGACCACAAAGTTGAACAAGAATGGAGAGAGTGGACAGCCCTGACGAACGCCACTTGAGGTAATCAATTCTGATGACAGTTCGCCATAAGCTCTCACTCTACCAGTTGTGTTCGAGTAAAGAGCCTTTATAATTTTAATGTACTTCTTTGGTACTCCTTTCAGTGACTAACACTGCCATAGAACCTTACGATCAACAGAGTCGAATGCCGCTTTAAGATCGAGAAATACTACCATTGTGGGGCGTCTGAATGTGTGTCTGTGTTCTAGAACCTGACGTAGTGTGAATATCTGATCTATACAACCACGTCCAGGTCGAAAACCAGCCTGATTTTCTCTAGTCTGCTCTTCACGAGCTTCGGTTGGGCGTCGAAGTATTATTGAAGCTAATATTTTAGACACTATATTAGTCAAACTGATTCCTCTGTGATTGTCAGAAGAGGACTTTTGTCCTTTCTTAAAAACTAGCACAATCAGTGATTGAGACCATTCAGATGGGATTACGTTGAGTTCCCAAATTCTACCTAAGACCTCAGTTAATCTCACTGCTAATACTGGACAAGCATCCTTAAAAATCTCAGGATTAAACCTGTCAGGGCCTGCTGCTCTCCCTCGTTTCAGATTTCTTATGGCTTTTTCAACTTCGTAAAGAGACGGAGGACCTACATTAACTTGCCATTCAGGTTGACTGGAGATCGTGGGAAGCCGAAGTGTGGCTAAAGGCCAATTGGACTGATCCCTAAAGTGTTCTGCCCATCGATCCAATCTCCTGGATTGAGAATGTATAATATGTCCATCTTCCTCTGAGAGTGTTTCGCTGACAGTCGGTTTCCTTAACAAGTCTGAACAATTGTCTGCTATTACCTATTGCCGCTGCCTTTTCCATCTCTCTTGCTTTCGCTACCCACCACTGTTCACGATCATTGCGTAGACTTCTTGTCAGCTTGCGCTTAAGCTGACTCCGCTCTTCATTATGTTTAGAGCCAGGTGGAATGAGTTTCCGAGCATCGACCAGTGCGATAGATGCTGCTGAGATCCAGTGTTGCTCCCCAACCTTCTGGTTTACCTTACTAGCAGATATCAATTCTGTTTTCACAGCTTTTCGGACATCATTCCATGCTGCATCGCGGTGGGCATCACGTACATGGCTGCCTAACTGTTTTACTAGTTCCTGAAATATACTTATAGCTTGACTATCATTAAGTAGGGCCCTAAGAGGTTAACTTGCAGCGTCTTTCCTACGTCCAGTAAGACGCAGACAGATGCGCGCTAGCACTAGAGCATGATCTGAATCTAAGCATGTGCTTCAGAATGAGCGACAGTCTTCTATTGAGCCCCTCCATCGGTGGCTGATAGCGATGTGATCTATTTGGGTACAACGTTGAGACGAATTATGGGGTCTCCATGTTAAAAGATGTTTTTCCTTATGCTTAAAGTTAGTATTTGCAAGAAAGAGGCGATTATCTGAGCATAGCTGCAACAGACGGTCGCCATTATCTGTTCTTTGAGCCACGACACTATAAGATCCACCCAGGTGTCTTTACCTATCGCTTAGTTTACCTACTTGAGCATTAAAGTCACCGGCCACTATTACTACATCCGAGCTCCTAGCTTTTCGGAGAAGGTGGGAGAGCTTTCTGTAAAACTTATATTTTACATCATCTGAGCTGCAGTCAGTGGAAGAATAGGCAGAAACGACGAAGAGGCAACTGTAAAATCTACCTCTTAGTTACATTAGAATTCGATCTATTTTATCTCCTTATTATTAACGCGATTTAATCAAAGCGAATTCAATTATTATATGATTACAATCTCCACAAACGCCCATTCCGATAACAAAACATATATGTATATTTATAAGTTAATTGCACAGTTACATTTCATTATCGTCGTTATATAAAGTCAAAAAGACAAAATCTACCGCAGTCAGTTATTATATAGATATATATTTAGGTGATCATCAGTCGTTCCTATGGTTGCTGTTATGATTTCAATTGAAACATCTAATAACAATAAATTTACTAATAACCATAACATTTTGATAGTATATTATCTGATTGTATTAGGATATTCTCAACACAAAATACACAGTATTACGATAAATTCCTCTTCACTATACATTTTAACTGTAAATATTTGGATGTACATACCTAAAGAAGTCGCCAATATTGATTATCTGCAGATTCATTGGTGAATTCTTGGACCATTTCTATTAAGTCCATAAAACGTTTATTCTCATCACATAATATAGTGAATAGACCAATCAAATTAAAAGAGGAAAATATACTAACTACTGTAATGGTATTTGATCATTTTCGTGATAGATCGTAGGCTTTTCAGTAAATCTCATTCATGCACCACATATACAGTGAACATGCGTAATGATGTAGGTAAAAAAAGAAGTCGAGAATAAAAATATATACAATTGGAAAATAGATGACTCAAAAATATAAGCCAATCACTCAATCAAACGTAATATAGCTCATGAGGAAACTAATTTAACTGATAATGTTGTAAACTAAGCTCAATTTATCAGATGATCAGGTAATAGAAATTATTATTTATTTCATTACTGTAAATAACAATTAACTAAATGGAATTGTTCATAGTTAAATTATACCTTAAAGGTGTGTATAGTTATATTTGTATGAATTTAGTTATTACACACATTGTATTTCATCGTTTCATATTTAAACATCTGCATGTTAAATAAATATGTATGTGTAAATTTTCAAACAAAAAAAGCTCATATTATGTTGTCTTGGTTACATAGTTAAACAAATTAAGAACATAAAACAGTGGATTATTCAACTATTACATGTATTAACTAAACATTACCTTAATTTTGCTTCTATTTTTTGTTTACCTCCTAATTCATTCTCATTTGAAGTAATGAACGGAACATATTAAACATTATGATCATTAAATCCAGCTTATATATTTGGTGTATTAACTCTGAAATAATTGTGTTTAGTATTGTTTGACTATATGCTACCTGTCTGTTTGAACTTAATTTTATCAAATGTGTTCAATTGGTATGAGATTGATTTATTAATAATTGGATAGTAACTATTTATATCTGTCTAGAAGATAATATTGGACATTTAACGACTGTCTTTAAGAGTGATTTAATAAATTATATAATTTTCTTGTGTAATTCTTACCTAGTTCAAACTTGTGTTGTAAAAGTCTCTTTCAAAATATATAAACCATATCTATGGTTATTATGGATTACTGTACGCAACGATCTCAGATTTAAAATAACTTCTGTCGCGTAACAGTTTCAAGTATCCTTCAAGTTCTGGTAATGCATCTGAAGCACTTAACTCTGAACCGTTTAGTATCTTCAACTCAGACTCTACTTTACCTTTTCCAATCTAGACATTCCAGTAGTATTATTAACTACAGCGAAAATGTAACTCTGAACCTGGTACATAAATTTGTACCTAAATAATTTATTCATTTGGATTATATCGATGTTTAATGTAGACCATAAACCGATTTTTAATATTCATCACTTTATTTTGTCCTTTGTATTTGGTTCCTTTATTTTGGGAAAAAATAGGTGGGCTGTCATTGTACCTCCACCTAGTCCACTAACACATCCAACGGAAACTGTAAATTCTTCGAAAATTACAATATTACGAGATTTACCTGTTAACAAGACTTACATCAATGGTATTGACAAGTATTCTGATGATAAACATGCGAAGATTACTCCTACTAATAAATTATTTTGGTTACTGTCAATTTTCTTCACTGTTTTGTGTATACCTCCTGTGTTCGTATACTTCATCAACCATTTTGTTAAATCTAATACAATGAGCTGTTTAACATTGATTTCGAACTTTAAAACAATATGTAAGAATTTTACTATCGTGTACAATGTCGTTTCAAAATCGTACGCTACAAATATCGACATGAAAAATAGTCGTCTGTCGGCAAGTGCACTTAAAACAAAAACGGATCTGTCACAAGAAACAAGTTCAATAGTAGCAGGTCTTCTTCCATCACACTTCGATACACCAGATTCTAGTGGTTGGGCAGGGTGTTCAGCACAAGAAGTTGGACAACCGGAACCAATTCGTTTTAATTTAAACAAAGTTTTAGGTCATGGGGCAAACGGTACTATGGTTTTTGCGTAAGTTTATATTTCATAAATCTACTTATTGAATTATTTATTTTCTTTATGATAAAAGTTACTTATCTCAGGACTTTTAATATTATCATTTTTGAAAATAGTAATCGGAAGCCCGTTTTTTCCACATCTTAATATAACGTACCTTGATAATAATTTCCCAGTTATCAGCTAATCTTACAATTACATCTGATAAATTGCAAACAAGCTTGGTTGGATAAAAATAATAAACTGCACGACGGTCTAGTCACTAAAATACTACATGCTTAAGGATCTTCTCTTTTTCATACACACACAAGTGTGACTCGAGTTTGGTTACATAAATCTGTACTTAGAAACTAATTTTGACTAAGATATTAAACTGATTGCTTGATATTCATCATTGAGTACTGTTGAGGCGTAGCATAGTAAGAATAACAAATTCAATAGATTATCCTTTCGTTTCTGATTGGTCGATTTTTGACGTCGCTTATGTAACGGGTTTTTCATATATTAAGAGTAAAGGTATACTATACCAATGGCCTTGAGCGGCCAATCAAAATCAAGGCAGATGGTGTTTATTTTTAGTGCAAATTAAAAACACTTAGGGGATGACTTGTTGTGAAATATATTTTTGTTTAGATTTCGGATTTTGAATGGTTTGGATGATCATTTTATTGTGCAATGAAGTGTTATCGCCAGGATGTTAGCGCTAGGATTTTAGGTTTAGGAGTCAGGGTTTGCGATCCTTAGTGAATTTATCTTTCTTTTCGTCATATAGAGCGCTTTCACAAAGGCTGCATTCCGTTAGGTTGTGGTCATGATCACTCTTAACTTCACTAAACTTTGTCAGTATAGTATACTTTTTCCACATTAAGTATTCTTCGGAATAAGCATATCTTCATCTTTCTGTAACAATCGCTGTTTTGTGTAATTAGTCGTAAAATATTGGGACGTTTTTATTGTCACCACTATAAAGAAGCCGATTTGTGCGAATGAAATAGCAAGTTACTTTGTTTTTATTGAAATGAAATTTCATGATTTATCATCATAATTATGTTTAACAAGCATTAAAATATTGCAAAACAAATGTGAACTAACAAGGTATAAGATTCATTTCCACATGATAAGATGCAAATCGTTGCAGGTATCTACTAGATTGTAAGCTCTGTGTTCGTTTGACTGTTCGCCAAGACATTGTTGTTAGCATTTTTAAGTTTATATTCGATTATATCAATTTGGTGTATTGTTTTTCGTTTCTTTAAGACACTCATGTTGAATAAAGTTATGACAGTAGTTTGTACCAATATGTATAAAACGTAAATCCTATAATTATCATTAACTCATTTGCCCACTACATATAAGTGTTATTGGCATCAACTGGGGGCTAGTACTACTACTACTACTCAGTTGCCCAAACTGAAGTTGGTGGAGTGGGGGTCGAGTCTTAGTGTTTGAAAGTTGAACACCTTGACTACTGAGTCATTAATTCCCTGGTTTCTATTTAGATGAATTCATGTCATTCTGTGTGTGTGCATTCACTGTTTTTGCAGTTTCGTTAGCTAATTTGAATTACATTACAGCTCTGTTACGTTACAATGTTTACTAGCTTTCTTGAAAATGTTTTTTTATTAAAACTTAAACTGGATGGACGGAATTTTTTTTCTTTTCTAATGAAGTGGAACTTATGGACCACATGAAACCGCTGTTAAACGTATTGTAAGACATCCTTTATTAGAAAAACATTGGCGTCGTGAACATGCCATATTGTTAAAGCATCAGCATCCACATTTAGTTCGTTGTTATTGGACAGTAAGTTGGTTTTTATCGTGAGTTAGTTCTTTTGTTTTTGATGAAACAAAGTATTGTAATATGAGATATAACATCGTATTGTTTCGATATCTTTCTGTCTTTGGAATGCAGGTATGCTTATATATTCATTCACCGGAAGACAGTAGTTTTGTGATTAAAGTACAGTACTTAAATTTTACTCACTTGAAATCTCAGGTTCTTACTCCTGCTTAACCTGCCACAGGTGAATCACCTGCATAATATGACTAATTCTTAAACTAAAAGTTGGACACATGCACTTGTATTTGGTTCATGAGTTATATTTAAATGTTCTACATTCACTTTAATCCAGAAATTGTTATATTTTCACAAAATACAACTTTCCCACTACATCATTTCAAGTACAATACCGTACAAATGTGTATATATTTTATTTGCACATATGTGTTTATAATTAGCCAAGTTTAGATCTTGTACTTAAACGAATAGATGTCCATTCAGATGAAATGTCTGATTTTAAAGTTACAAATATATGTATTGTTCTCTATTCCTTCAATTCTTCAAATGATAATAGTTTATAGCAAGCTAAATAATCTGTTTGTAGTATTCAGTCAGCTTATTTCTTTTTGCCTTTATAGGGTAGTACGGCAAACTTTCACTATTTAGTAATGCAAAGGTGTTCATTGAGTTTAAATGAAGCATTAACATCACTGAGTTCATCAAATGCATTGCAATCAGATGACATCAATTCAACTGATCCCATTAAGGCATCATTACTCAATGATTTGGGTTTAACTCCAGTACAAATTATTCATCAATTTATTTTAGCTGTTGCATGTTTACATCGTAATCAGATTGGTAAGTCACTAGTTTCGTTTTCTTTGTATAGTTTTCTTTCATCCCTTTTTTATTCTTATTTATTAATCCATAATTTTCAATATTTATCAACTTTATGTTAATTCATGATGCAAAATTATGTTCAAATTCATTTAGCCTTTGTTTCATAGTTCTGAGCTCTCGAGCTAACATTTACTCTCCTCGTTTTCCTTGTTGATGTACTTGAACCTATATAAATTCATTCTATCATGTCCTACGTAGTTTATAGTTGACTGATTAAATTGGTACTTTACTGTCTTTTTCACTGTATGACTGTGAAACGTGTCTTTTAAGTATAGGGTATTTGTAGGTTACTTTTATCCGATCAAAGATGCCTTAAAAGCATTATTTGCGTATCTCTGAACCACTGAGTTAGGTATACTGAAGTTAGACTTTGTTTACTAGCTAAAGATAACATCAACTGATATTATCGCGGATCTTCATCGACTGAGATAGGTAGGACACGTAATACATATGCCTAATCACCGTCTGCATCAACAAGCTAGTGTAAGAGTAGGTTGAAAAACAACTAAAGTCATCCCAAATAAGACCTAAGATCAGTTCATGTCAGTGACGGTTGGATTGTAGATGAGTTGTCTGATTAAGTTCCTCAAGATTATCGTAACTAGTAGTTGAGATGTTGGGTGACATGGTGCAGAATCTGTCATAATGGCATTGGTTCATTTACTCTTCTTCTTTTGGATCCTGTCTTATAAGTTTTTGAATTTTAATGGGGCTCACGCAGGGAGGCCGCTTATTATGAAAGCAGTTATATTAGCTATTTCGATTATTAATTTATTCCCCTGTATTGCATGTAAAACCTGTAACTGCTTTATCCAATACTATGTAACTGTAAATAATAACCGGACAACCTTAATACTCATTTGCCCACAAGTTTCTTCTACGGATAAGACAAAAATATAAACCAACTAGTTTTCTGTTGTACTCTTGCTCATGTAGTCATAGACTTTGAATACCTAGCCGCACAACATCAAATAAGATATTACACTGTATATGCAACCCAGTCGTATGTGGCTCAAAAACGGAACAGTACTTAAATAATTAATTAATGATAATTATTGGACAGTAAGAAATACAACAATCAAATAAAAGCTTACAAATAGGCGTATATTAGAATACACTACTCCAATCATCTAGTGATTTCATATGATTGGTCCCCTTTATAACCAAAATAAAAACACTGATTTCTCTCATGATAGTTCCAAAAGTTCATCGTTGCTCAAAGTTTGTTTGATATGACATATCCTTAGTTTCAAAATTATTGTATACTTTTTTTTGTTCTACAAATTCATTCTTCTCGAATCATACAATCTATAGCTAATGTTTTCTATTACCATCGATACTGTTACTACTGCTATCACTCTAATATTTATCTTGATAATTTCATATCATACTAGTGATATGGTGTAGTGACTTTCACTGGTTCATGTGTATTCGCCAGGTCTTATGTTGTTTATGATTGACTAAATAAATCGGTTATTTAAATTACTAAGTAAATATGTTATACATGGAACAGTTTAATCTTTGTTTTTGAAGTTAAACCAAATTATAATTTATTGCTATAATATTTTTTTTATTAAAAATATTGTAAGGGAAATTAATCTAAATCAATCTTGATATTTCTACGTGAACAGACAAAAAATTTTGGATCTGTAAAAAGTAGATTTATTATTACATTTAACAGTAAAATATATCCAACGAAATATTTCTTTCCACTTAACTCATTATATACCGCTTTGTACAATAATTAACAACCAAATCATTACCAGTCACACGGTTTGGTGATTTAGTGTAATATTACTCGTATTAGTAACTTAAATGATGAATATAACGTTCAAAAGTTAACCTTTTACACAACATTTAACAGCCAGTTTAGAGATTATATAATAAGTACCAAGAACGTTCAAGTGAATAAATTAATTTTTATTAGAATAGTCCCAAAATATCCCTCATCAAAGTTTCTAGAGGCCCAGAAACTCTTTTTTTTATTTTTTTATTTCAACACATAGATAATGGTACAAAGAGGCACCAAATACATATATGCGCCACACAAATCTCATTCGATATGTGTGAGGGCTGTGATACTGCCCGGGTGCCCAAACCGAAGCAGGTGGTTTTCTTAGGAGGCCACACCCCGAGCCTTCGACCTGAAGGTCTGACCCACAAGGCAGTGGAGCATCGTAAGGAGATGCAGTCCCATGGAAGCCGGTGACCAACAATTGGTTCATTCGCCATTTTTTCCCGCAGGATACTGGAGCCCATGTGCACCATTGGTTTGGAATCCGGTTAAAGCGCCGGACATTCGCTTTTCGTCCTCTCATTTTCGTAAACAACACCCCCGCCACGAGAAGGCAGTGAGTAGAACTTCCCTGGCAGAGGCTATATACGCGTGGCCGTGTGAGAGTATTTCGAGAGGGAGAGCGGACTCTCCCCACTCTCGGCCGTACCAGGGCATTTATCCAATTAGCATTGAATATAAGCTTCGTGGAAAAAAAACATCTAGAAAATGCAGAATCACCCTCCACGGTTTTGATTCAATATATACCTATACTGCTACTATGTTAAGTATGGCTTCCAAAATTTTCATAGGCTCAAGGTCGTGTGTATTTCTATCTATACCCTCGTTTTTCCATACATAAGTTAAGTTTCAAGTAAAGCTCTTACTCGCATTTCGCGCCTTTCCTCTATTGCTCCGGTTGACATAAAAAATTATTTGGGATTATCAGAATCGGATAATAAGATAGTTTAGGTGGTATCGGTGGCAAAACTTACACGTGTAGAATAGAACTGTAATTGTTACATCATTTTTGTGTACGCATAAAGCATGATAAATAAAGCAAATTGAGAAACTAGTCGATTATTTATTTACTTATTAACACAGTTTCTGTAAAAATTAAACGGTTAAAAATACCAGTCTGATGCAGAACATTTACATGCCCTGGTACAGTCGAGGGTGGGGAGAGTCAGCTTTCCCTCTCGAAATGCTCTCACATGACCACATGTATAAAGCCACTATCATGAATGTCCTACTCACTGCCTTCTCGCAACGCAGGTGTCAGTTACGAAATTGAGAGGACGAAAAGCGAACGTCTGGTGCTTTAGCCGGGTCGGTAGATATGAAGGATCCACTCAGGGGAGTTGGAAAGCCCTGATTCCAGACCAGTGGTGCATATGAGCCCCAAGATCCTGAGGAAGCGGATGGAGAATGAACCTACTGTTGGTTACCATCTACCATGGGACTTCATCTCCGTACGTTGTTCCATTGCCTTGTGGATTAGATCTCTAGGTCAAAGGCTTAGAGCATAACCCCTTAAGTAAACCACCCGCTTCGGTTTGGGCGTTCGGGCAGTATGTCAGTCCTCACATAAATCGAATGATGAAGTGTTGTGCATATATATCTGGTGCCTCCTTGTACCAATGTTTGTGTCTAAATAATTTAAGAACTTAACTGTGACGACAATCACTTTTGAAATCTCATTTTCTATTTAATTTTTTTCAATTATAGTTCATCGAGATTTGAAACCAAGTAATATACTTATAATTTTGGATAATAGTTCTAATAAAGTTAATAATAATAATTCAACCGGGAAAGCACGTGTTGTAGTTGGAGATTTCGGTTTATCTCGTCCATTACCTACAGATCAACACGAACAACAACATCAAGATACATTCAATTCAATTGGACCGCACATTTCTGTGAAAATTCAACAAATTAAAAGTCGTTCACTCTCTTCAACATCATACCAAAATGACAGTAGTGTTGAATTTAACTCATCTGAGAATGATATACAATCGGATGTTACTAGTGTTACTAATAATAATAGCAATAATGTTTTCGGTATAAGTGTAAGATATGGTGACCAAGAAGAATATACTCCTGGTATTGTTAATAATTCTAGAAACCCTAATGTAAATAACTATCATAATGATAAAAATCAAGTATCAGATAATAGTGTATGCTTCACTTTTGGTACACTTGGTTGGATGGCACCTGAACTGTGCGATGCAGAGTCGGCCTCACAAGTGGTAAGGTTTTTACACTTTTAGTAAACATTATTCTTTAATTTTTTCAAACAATAAATGTACAAACAGAATGTTTTTGAATGTGTACCAAAACCGATAAAAATGTACTAATGTTTGTTGGATGAACCTATCCGAAACCTTTTCAATGCTCAATAATTATGCGATGTTTAGCACTTCCAACCACCTTTCTATTCATTTAGTGGGTGATTCCAGCATATTAAAGTGTAATTTTCATCAGAAATTTCATTTCAAGCTCTAACGTGCACTCTCATCGGGTATATCGGACTGCGCTAGACAGATAATCGCGGTTAACTCCAAATATTAGCAAAATGAAACGTCAACAAGTCGAAATTATAATAGTAATAATGCTAGAAAGAAAAACACAGGACAAATAACTCAATAAGAGAAATTGAAGTCGATGAATTTATGATGTGATAAATATTATTAAAGTTTTAGATTTAGAATAGAATAAAGAATAAACAAATCTTGGTCATAACTATTAATTTTAGTCCCATATTCAATCAAGTCTCTAACCATAGAGTAAGATTATTCTGCGAACTTCATTCGGAAAGGGATTCATCACTATCTATGCCATTTAAATTTGTTTTAAAACTGTCCATACTTAGTATAATCAACCAGTTAGTTACGAGAGGAACAATTGATTGTAAAGAGTTCTTTTAATTAAGTTCCTTAATTCATTCATTTGGTTTTTGTTGTATGTATTGACATTTGTTGACTATAAAGTCGTTAATCTTGTCATTATTTACTTACAGTTTACATTTTTTTCAAATTTATTAACAATAAATACTCTTCCTTAACAGGAGAAAAAGAAAAACATACAGCTTAAATTAAGAGAATATTTAACAATTAATTTCATGTTAAACTTTTGATATATAAATTTATACCTGGTTTATCAATTCTTCTTTCTGTCTGTTCTCTTTTTATACAAACAGACTTGTGCAATTGATATATTCGCTTGTGGTCTATTGGCTTATTATGTTTTAACTTATGGTAAGCATCCATATGATTGCTGTAGTAAAGAGTTGAATAAATTTCAAATTGACAAAAATACCCAATCAACAACTGTATGTTCGTCAGTGTCATCCTCGTCATCTTTTACTACTTCTGGTGGTGGTGGTGGGGACAGCAGCTGTGACACCGTAAATGAAGTTAAATCATTCAGATGTACCACTTTAAGCCGTCAACATGAACGACAGTTGGCAATAGCTGAAGGTCGTCTACCTAATTTAGACATTTTGACCGAGAATCCAATCAATGTTCATGAAAGTAAAGAGTTACTTTTCTTGTCTATGTTTTAATATTGTGCTTGTTCTGTATGTATTCATCATTGTATTATTCAACACAGTAGTAGCGTCTTACAAACTAGTGTACTCAGCTCCAACTACATTTTTTATGTGGAAGTTAATGATGGTGCTTGTATGTACAGACTGTATTAGGTAAAGCAATGTTCAAACCCAATCTTTAAAGTTGGACTCCAACTACTAAAACGTCGCTTATTAGTCTCTACATCAGTTGATTCACACTTGCAAATTGTTTGATATTATAATTTAATGCCCTACTGTGTTATGTATAATATTTGCTTTTCCCTCAAATAATCACGATGCAATTAATAATAATAATTATTGTTATTGTTATGATTATTATAAATATCATTTATAACACTGATACTACTAAGATTAATTTGGCGTTCACGTTGATAATTTAATTCCACCCTTCTGATGTAGTTTAACAACTCTTACCAATGCACATTAGCGCCGTATTCTACGTGACTCACGACTAACGGTGATTTGTATATCTACTCTTTGCAGAACTTTGGTTAGGTACAAATGAATTTGAAACTTGTCATGTTATATAACTTTTATTTAATTAACTCTATTGAAATCTCTTCATGATACACATATTTACCTTTAATCACCCTCGTTGTAAGTAACTGATGAGAACCTAACGAAATAAAATATATTCATATTATTCTGCACCAATCTTCCTTCTTGCTTTCTTTAATATAATAGTCATTAATCATAAAATCCAAAATTTGTATTTTTGTTTAATGTATTAGTTATCTTGGCTTTATCATAATTCATTACAATAGTAGTGCACAATATCACCACTAGAAAATTAAATGTAGATCAAATGAATCAATTACTCAATATGCACTCATTCACGGGGTTTTCATTGAATCAAATTTATATAGAGCTGTTTTTAAATAAATGTGTGTTAAACGCTTATGCAATGAGCTGAATTTCTATAAATTTTGTTTTAATAATGGTGGACGAAACATTCATTCTAGATCCCACTGCTGGTCACCATCCATCTGTGCTTATAATGCTTGTAACTGAGGGTAATATCGAGGTGATCCACACATATACCCTTATCAGTGTAAACATAGCCCTATAAATAGGTTCTGAGATAAAGTGTAAATCTAAACTTATTAATACACTGATAAACCACGAGTGGTAATGTTTACAACGGTCAAAATTAAAGAACTGATGATTATTTCATGACTTCTACTCCCTCATTCACGGTTAATCGTTTGTAATCTGATAAATCGTCCTACCTCAATGAAATATCCTGTGTAGAAATAATAACTTTAACTACTTAATATAAATTGTCTTGTAGTTCTGTTTTGTTTTATTTTTGGAAATCTATACGGTTGGAACTCCTATGATACTTCATACTGAGAATAAGTTATCATTTTAATCCACATCTACCATTTCAGTATTCTATCAAATCAATTATTCCGTTATGTCTAGAAGTCATTATTTGTTCATTCTACTATTTATTTCATACTGATCATTCCTATTTGCTTCTTTTATTCCATTTTGATTATAACGATCTTTGTATAAAGTAGTAAATAACAAGACCCACTTTTTGTCAACTATTCCTAAGGTTTAGAAAGTGTCCATTGCGTTATCATACGGTGTATACGAATCAACTCAAGTTGAATAATATCGGCACAATGTGTATTATGCTCATGGGAAGAACACCTGCTTTTTCCTATGATTTTGTAGCTAATAAATTAATTTGTGTAACGAAAAGTTGCTTATAAATGTTTCATACACATAGTTCCCTTTATCATTTTGTAAAGAGCAAGATCAAAGATTCTAGCAGAATATCATGAATTCATTTTATTTCATTTAATTGTTGTCAGCTACTTACAACCTGTGATATTTTAAAATCATAATTACAAAATGGGTTTAAATTACTTACATGAAAGAGTTTAGTTGGAAGTTATATTGAAGACACATTAGTATAATATGGCAAGGGTGTAAATAAATTTCATAGACTGAATATTGTAAATATATACCTTATGTAAAGGGAAATTTTACAACATTCATTCTGACAAGAGTTCAAACGGCCAGTAACGAGTGATTATATGATGCGTGAACGCTAATAGGAATAAAAGGAGTAAAGCTCAGTTAATAAAATAAAATTACTAATCTGGAGGACTTTTATTATTATTATTATTATTGTTTTACTCAACCACACCCGTTGTTGAAACCTTTATTAAAAACAAACAACGTCATTCATTCACACATTCTTTCTTTAACAAAAACATTAAATAAATTGTATTTATAAATTTTGTTTCCAGTTAAATCTATGAAACATCTTTGTGTACACAAGGCTTGTTAGAATTAAATATGTAAACAAGTTTTCTTTCTTAAGTTATTGTTTATTTGTTTACCCCCGGTAAGTAATGAGAATAAAACATACGTAGAAGAAGAAGAAATAGGTCAAACTGGCATACTTTTCACCTTTTTCATTTTTGCTATTACAATTTTATTTAAGTATGAACTTTCTTTTCAAAAATGAATGGTGTTGACTTAAAAAAGTAAAATAAACTGAAAAGGTGATTATACTTGCAAACAACGGAAATCATGAAGTTTTGGCAACAAAAAAAAAGAAGAATATAACAAAATATTCTATAAAAGTTAGGTATGTTATTAAGTTTGGATAGTAACTGGCACTAAAATCCAAGACGAGTGTACCGTCCTACTTGGAACTCATCAATTGAATGTACTTGTATTCTAGTATTAATCTTTATATTAAGACTCAAATCTGATGTGTTTTGATTCAAAGGCTACTTTTATTATTCACTGAACTACCGAGTCCAGGTAACCACTTGATTTTGCGATTAGTATGAATTTTGTTTTTAATGGTTTGTATTTTCCTGTTGTTTTTTGTTATGGACTATAATTTATTATTTTCTATTAGTGTATATACTTTCTGACTGAAGTGCCTTGATGTTACCGCACGAATCGTTACAAACAAATCATTTTATCATTAGAGTAAGAAGAAAATCGAAAATATGATTGTCCACAATAGCCTTGGTTTTTATTAAGCTGTAGCATCATGTAATGTTTATTCCGGTTCATCATTTTGTAGATTAGTTCACGTCTAATTAAATTGAACAGAATAATGCAGTTCACTACTAATACTACTATCATATACTTATTTTCGTTTACACTATAAAAATCTAAAATTAACAGTAGAGTTAAAACTAGTCACCTAAAAGCTGAACATTTAATCTACTAAAAGTCGAGAAAAAGACTTGATTATGTAATCAAAGTGAATAAATGTTTGTTGTACCTTATTTCCTTCTCATAGTATATAGTAATTGAAAAGAAATTTTGGATCCGATAATCAATTGGCAATTTATTGACTATTTACTTTGTGTGATTTTTAATTGTCAATAGTCAGGATTTAATTTCGATCAGTTTGTTGTTATATGTACTTCCTAAGCGATTCCCTCAATATTGCCTTTTACTTACAAGTTTCAGTCTCAAATAGTATCAAACTCACATATTGGTATTCCACTGCTAGCCACATGTTATCTGTTTTATATAAGTTTCAGTTTACTTGAATTGTAGCTAATAGTGGAATTCAACTTCTACTAGTTTTTTTCAATGAAAATATGTACTATAATTAATCATGACAATTACTTATATACTCTTTTGTAGTTATATAGTGTTCATTATTAATAACTATTTATTATATCCTCTTGGTTCGATTTAGTGGCTAATACTCATTCTAACACTTATTTAACTAGTTATACAGATTTAGAAGTCAAATATGGCATAGCAATCTCTAACCGTAAAGTTCACATGAGTCAATTTCACATATTTACAATACTAAAATGGTTCACACAAGTATATATATATATATATATATATATATATATATATATATAAGCAGATATCTTTACCAGATAAATAATCTACACGCCGATAGTAAACCTACCAAGCCTTGTATTTTTCATTTACAAAGTGTCTTTATTGATGGCATGTAATATGTCTAAACTTACCCGATGTTACATCTCCCTCTTTGAGACTTCTTCCTCATTTGTGTTTGCTTATGCCATTTGATATGGGAGTTTACCAATGTCGTATCCTTTAAACAATTCCCTTATTAAATTTCTTCATAGTTCATGTTACTTATTGGCCATCGATCTTAAAGTTCTGTGAATTACTCTTCTTTATATATAGAAATGCAAAAAAAATCACTCCAACCAAATAATGAATTTTCTTTCCAAACCATTTTGCATTATAATTCCACTCGAAATGGTAATGTGGTTCACAATCGTAAAAAAAATTACTAATAAACAGTGAATTTTTTTGAGTAATTGTGATGTATGATACTCATTCTCAGTTCCGTCGATCAAAATTTGACTATTTTTCACAGTTGTACTACTTATTTTTGATAAGTAGTTAAAGGAAATATTTCAAATATATGTGTCGCATTTAATATCATGTTCTCAATCCGTTCCTGATTTTAAAAAAATTAATGTAAACTTGTTAGAATGCCTTTCTGTGATGAATGTTATAGGAATAGAAAAAGTACAGATTCTAGATTCTTGTATAATATTTTGAGTTCAAATACACATTGTCTAAAATTAGTTCAACAGCAAAGTAATTGACGTTGACAATTAAACAAAGTGACATACAGAACTGGTAAATACTGTGCAACATAGGAAGTCTGGAGAATTCGACAAATTATTCTACCTGTTAACTACATATCATACTGGAGCTTTTCAAATGGTTTCTTGTCGTTTATTGATAGACTTATCAAGTTGTAATTCTGATATTTTTATCCTTCATCACGAAACGTGGTATGAAGAGAATCCCGGTTGTCGTACATCAATTCACTTCACCTTTTGATAGTGCTTTTTTTTCCTCATAATGTGAATATGGAACATAATATTTTACTCTATCCTATAATAATCCTGTCTATAAAAGAAATAATATTAAACAATCAAATTTATATTTCACTGGCGTTCCCTTTCAAACATTCTTCATATGTAATGCTATCACTAAGAAAAATTGTAGGATTTTATTTTAAGCAACTTGTATATATGTATCAATTGATATTAAAAATTTATGTGATTTACATTACCAAGTTACAGTTGGTTTCACTTTGTACTGTGTTATAAAAGTAGAAATGTTGGAAAAACTTTATTGTTGTTAATTACTTATAGTGACGTTTTTTTGTTTTCTTCACATGTAGCTGTGCATTCAAAATGTAAGGTTGATTATGATTGTTTTTGTACCTTTCTGTTTCATCCCATCCCATCTCTATTTTAGGTTATTTAGCTCGTTACCTTGTACAAACAATGCTTTCATCTAATCCTAACGATCGACCAACAGCTGAAGAGATCACTTACTATCCATTGTTTTGGTCACCAAATAAAGTCATACGCTTCATATCGGTAAGATATACATACAAAATCTAACTAATTGTTTTATTATTTTGATTAAAAAAGATTCCCAATTCGTAAATATTTTACTGTTTTCGAATTTCATTTCCATTACATATTTTCAATTTGTGATAAATGCACATAACTGAGTCAATTGAAGCTAAACCACCAATTGACTCATGATCTCAACCATTGAAATTACTATAATATCCACAAAACCCTTCTGATATGAAATAATTTTATCTTTGACGAAATGAAAATTTGGATAATACAATGAGAAGATGAAGTTTATCAGGACTATATGATAATATTAACACAATAGATTCAAGTGTATTTACACTAGGGATACTACTGAATAAAAGGTAGAGTTGTTAGCTGAAACATTAAAGAAAAATGGTTATTTTTAAGCAGAAGTCCCTATACCATGAGACTCGACGAAAATTCAAAGCTGCTTTATGTCTTCGGAAATAATTTCTTCTCACTTTAAGCCTACCTTGTTAATATTGATCATTTTCCTTATTATCTCTATTTCCATCTTACTTTGCAATTTACCTAGTTCACCTTTTATTTTTCAAATAAAAACTTAACAAGTATATGTGTGTGCTTCTAAGTCATCTTGTCAAAGATTATCTTGTAGACTACAATGAAAATGCCCATATTTTAAGCATTAAAAAATGCACTATTTCCTTTTTGCTTGCGTACTCGGGATATTATTTCACTGTGATTATATATTCTAATTTAATTTCATATATTAAGGAGTGTGAAGTGACTGGAGATCAGCCTATATTCTTTAGTAGTTACAACATTCAAATACTTCCGGATTGATCGATTAATTTACTATCGTCTGTCTGAAAAATCTTAAATCCCCATATTCACGTGAAATAAATGTGTACTACCATTCGATTATTATTAGGTGCTCTTCAAATTTACCCTACTAAGAAATATTTTAAATCTAATATTGTAACTGTAAAAAAAATAAGAAATAGGGGCATTGGAATTATATTCTTTCATTTACTTATTTACATAATCCCTACAATAACCATTATTTCTTTGCTCTCATTTATATCAAGGAATTATCAAATGTTATGGATATTAAAGATTTGTCATTTGATATTCCATCTCAAGGTTGCACTTCTACTAATCATTCAGTTGACGCCGCTGACGGAAACTGCACTCAAGACAATAATAATAATAATGGAGGTAGTACACCTACTACTAATTATCAGTCAGTCAGAGAACAACGTTTCGATAATTATCATCAACAACAAATGTTAAATGATCTTATTCGTTATAGAAATTGGGTATTTAATGAACATTGGTTTGCTAGACTAGAACCTGAACTGGTTGATAATTTATTAAGTAATAGAAGCTATCAAGTATGTCTTTGTGTGTGTTTGTTTGTTTGTTTCCATGACGTGAAAACTTTATATCAATAATCTCTGTATTTCATGTATTCTTTTTCTAAATACATTTGATCTTTTTATTGTCTTCGAATATACTATATGTTCAATAAACTTACTGTTTAAGCAACCTTGTTTACCATCTTATATAAATAACCAAGGTCACAACATTGTTATTACTATTTGTTTATTACTACACCTTAGGATACTTCTCTTATATACCTTCTACGTGCTATACGCAATAAACATAATCATTTCTGGTCATTACCAGAACATATTCGTGCAATTTATGGTTATAATCAAGAAGGTATGTCAATTTATTGGACAATGCGCTTTCCTGCTCTTCTACCGCTTATCTATGGTTTATGTAATAAACACTTTACTGGTACTATTAATTTTTCGGAATTTCTACCTCCAAAATCAATCTGTAAAATATATGTCGGTGCTCCAAGTAAGCGGTTAAATAGTTTTTTTTCTCTTTGTAAACAGCGATTCTATTTTTATTTATCATGATTGTATTATGTAATTTGTTTTATATCTTGTTTGTAAATTAAACATTAACAAATATTATACAAAGGGTAGACTATAAGCCCCCAAGTGCCCTGGTATGGCCGAGAGTGGGGTGGGTCCGCCTTCCCTCTCGAGATGCTCTCATACAGCCACGCGTATACATCCTCTACCAGGGAATTCCTACTCACTGCCTTCTCTTGGCATTACTGTTGTTTACGAAATTGAGAGGACGAAAAGCGAATGTCCGGCGCTTTAACTGGATGCCAAACCAATGGTTCATATGGGCTCCAGGATCCTGAAGGAACAAATGGCGTATGAACCAATCGTTGGTCACCGGCTACCGTGGGACTGCATCTCCTCACGATGCTCCACTGCCTTGTGGGTCAGACCTTCAGGTCAAGGGCTCAAGGTGTGGCCCCCTAAGAAAACCACCTGCTTCGGTTTGGGCACCTGGGCAGTATCCCAGCTCTCGCAAAAATCTAATGATTTATGTGGCGCATATTTACTTGGTGCCTCCTTGTACCAATGTTTATGCGTTTAAATAATAATAATAATACTATAAATGTACGTTATCAATTATTGTTGTTTTTTTTTATCCGATTTCTGATAAGTACAATGTATGCATGTTTGCTGTGAATTTCAGAAAACGTTTAGTAACACTAATTCAAACCAATAATAAAGCGTCATCACTTCTTCCAGATATGCATTAGATGAAAGTGAATTATTCAATGTTTTTCTTTAAGACATAAGGCAAATACTTTTTTTTAAATACTGACAATCTTACATTGTAAAATTCTACACATATAAATTAAAAACTTTCTTCCTTACTTCAAACTCATCATGAGTGTAAATCTTTAACTCGTTACACTAAATTCCATTATTATGGACCTAATAGTTAAAGTCTAAACTGATTGGAAAATGATTGATCTACAAACTAGTTTTCTCCAATCACTTATAAGATTTTATTATGTTATTTTTCGTATTAATATGGTGTTACTTAGTCGTTTTCTTTTTTATCTCAAATTACAACATACTTATTTACAATGTAATTGGATTCGTCTTAAGAACTTTTCTATACAAGAAATATGTGTATATTTAGTGTCACCACTGTAAGCCAAAGTACAGTTTACTTATTCATGTATCATACTGCTATGTTTGAAGCGATTGCAAGTTCACCTAGTCTGCGAACGAAACAAAGACTATGTGATCAAAGACCGATAAGCTAGCTATTCCCAGCCCTGCTAACTAGAGAGAGAAGTCAAAGTTTGAACGGGAAAATATATTCCTCAAACAGTCAGAAGCACGAGCGATAACAACAGGCATAAATCAAACATACATATATATACAGCATAAAATTGTCCTTGAGAAGCGTTGCAAGATAGCATACTAAAAGATACTACAGACCAATAGCGTTTAAGATTCTCTCAAGTTGAAAATACGACGTGAAAGTGAAAAGAGCGCTTTTAGCACGAAAACAAAGAAATTCAAATTTTCTAAATAAAATTACGAAAATAAGGTATTTACCAAGTCAGTTCTGAGGATCTAACATCCCCAACACATACATGATAAGTAACAAATTATAGTGTATAAGTTTATCATTTCGAATAAAAAAATATTTCATATGGTAAACAAATGATAGGAATACTTAATAAATACATTCTTGTTTATGGTTAATTATGGTTTTATGATTAAGTATGGTTCCCACTAAGCATAAGAGAAATTCTGGATGCCTAGTGTAATAATATTTTGCTTAGGCTAAGTATCTTTAGGTATATTTCCAGTATTATTGTTAAACTTTAATTCATCGTAATTAACTTGTGAGTTTGGCATGAATATTAAAATGATTGCGATGGATTTCAGCTTACTTTTAGTCAGTTAGAAAATATCTACTGAAAATGAATAGTTTATAGGTTGAAACAATGTTTTAAAAGGTAAATAAATGTTATGTAATTAATGAATTTATATTGAAGTCTTCTACGGGCTTTCGTGCCTATAAATCAGAAAAACGACTACATTAATTTGTTTAGATGAATATAGAATATCCGTCTTTCAGAATCCTTATAGGGACTCAAATAAACTTTTAGCAACCCTGCACGTTCCTAGCTAGGGTTCACATTAGAAGGAAGTGAAAGTAGAATTTATCTTCGTGTTATATGAAATCTATATCAAAAAAGAAATGAATATGTAATACATTTCACACTCATTTTCACTTTATGATTTCAATAATAACTTCTTATGTTTTTCAACATTTGGAGAACTACATAGAGATATTTCTACTGCCCACTTTGGGCGGTGAAATATGTGTCATCATGTTGTTTAAAAGAAAAATTTGAGTAAATACACAACAGTTAGTTTGTTAATTCTAATCGGGTCGTCCATAACTTGCACTTCTACTGTTTGTAATCTATTCTGAAGTTGTCTTTTTCATCCTAGCTGTTCATCTTCTTCATTGTGTCATTCGTTATTTTGTGTTCTATTAAGTTTCATCAGTTCTGTGTAAAGATTTATTTCCGAGTAGTTCTTTAGATTTAATCAACTGAGTAATTATATGTCTAATCAGTTCTCGTCGGTTAATACAGTAAATTTACTAGTCACTTTTGTTAATTATTCATAACAGTTATAGATGTATGTGGTCTCATCATGATCCTTGTTATGTATTCATTTTAAATTAAGAAAATTTTATTGTGAGATAACAATAAGTCTTTCAGTATAATACAGAGAAATAGTAATGTACAAGCGTTAACGGTAAATGAATTAACCAACAATTTTATAATTTCAAGGATGTAGGTAAAACCTGTTAACTAGAGACATTGCCATTTATCAAAACTCAAACCTTACTACTGACAATTAATATCCCTTATTTAATAGCAAGTGTGAATATCATCTCTTATTAGCTTAACATACAAACATTTGATTTCAGTTGTTGATATTTATGAATATTCACAGTGGTTGTCATAGAGCTAGGCATGGAATGATTATTAACTGGAATTTAGTAAGTGAATAAGAATTGTAGTCCTTCAAATGAATGAGCAAAATGCCGATAGATAGACTTAACGCTATGATACATTATGCCCAAGTGATAAATTTCGATAAGACTGGATAGTTGCTGTAGTCCCTAAATTGAAGGGATATTAGAAGAAAAGACAACTGTAAACACGATCCGAAATTGTTTGGTTTATACATGAGCTATATGTTGTTGACTCTTCATGCTTAATTCTTGTCCTTTCATAATAGCAATGGATAAAAATCATATATTATGTGTTACCTATTTTTTAATCGTTAAATCACATTCAAGTACTATTTGTGAATAGTTGCTAACTTTGTTGCTATTTTTTTTTGTTATTGATTATTACCAAAGAAAATTGTCCATGGTGGCCTATTTGGAATACCTCTAGTATTGATAATAATGAAATAGACGAAATTTCAATTCAAGAGAACAATTCAACAAAATCACATGTTCAGTTTAATCAAAATGCAAATAAATCAAAAAATTTAGTAAGTGGTTTCAATATGTAATTAATATGCTATGTGTTTATAGTTGCTAAACATTGAATCCAAATAAATTAAGTTTTTTTATTAAATATTGAAAGCGTGTACATTGTTCAATGTGCACAATCCAGGAGAAGAAGTTACACTCATCAAACTTTGATACTATAAAAAGAAATCTAATAAAAGCTGCCTTTAACAATCCATTAATAACCATGGTGATTTTTTTTTAAATATTCAACTCGAAAATAAAACCCACTGGTTTAAATTACAACACTTATCTGATCATTCATTATCTTCAATGAGATGACTTTGGGAGACTAATCATAGAAACATTTGAATTTTAAACTAACAAACTGTAATCATAGTTAAGAATAAAAGTTTGATGAAAAATAAGGCTTATACAGTATCACTGATCATTGACTACTGAACTTGTTTGTTTACTCCTTCTGAACATAAATGACAACGTTTAACTGTATTACTTGAGATGTTCTTTGTAAATCAAACTGAAAATATATATTCTTTATTGATTATGTGGTGAGTATGTTTACATCATGCTATGTAATGAAGATTTAAACTTTTCTTTATTGGTTTGGTTTTCCTAAGGCTTAGATTATGTGGAATGTGTCATAAAGTGTACTGTTAATATACAATCTGTATCTTCGGAATATTTGAAACTGATTACACTAAAGTTGAGTTATTAAACGTATTGATTGATTGGATTGTTTGACCTTTATCACAAAAGATTTTTGAGATTGGTTTATTAAAGTGTGATATATCTACTAATTGAATAACGATGAGACACATTTCAGCATTGAATAAGTTTACGAAAACATTTATTATATAGTGTATAATGTTTCACTCACATACGTCCACTTTCTATCTTTAGTATGTGAATAGTAGATGGAAACGTGGTGACATTATGCCCTCCTATTCTTTGGAACTAAGTAAACCATACACTAAACCATCAGATATAATGAATAAATCACTTAAAATCTCAGTAAAACATGAATGTGATCAAGAATTAAAATATGAAACGATATATCCTAATGAAGTGGATCCCAATGATGATGTTTGGAATAATACTACTGTTCATAGTAGTCATAGACGTCGTCGACCTAACCAACCTAAAAAAATTCGTCCTTCTAAAAAACAATTCACTATACAACGACGTCAAGATTTAATTTCAATTGCTGGAACTGAATTACCTTCCATATATGAAAACAAATAATTATTTGTGATATTATAAAGCTTTTTTTTTCTTTTGTTATACAAGTTTTCATTCTTTGTATTTTAAATGGAAATTTTATTAAATAACCAATCGTTATACTTAATATTCCTTTTAATGAACTAAACAATCTCTTCCTGTTGTTTTATACAAATTGCTTTTACCTTCCAAATCAACGATAAACTTTATACCTCTGTGTGTGTGTGTGTATGTGTGATTATAGTTTTCACTCAAATATGTGTGGTGTTTCTCTTCTTATTTGTTTTGATTATTTGTACATACTACTCTTAACTGATAAAAAAATGGTTGAAATGTGCAGTTACTGTGACTCATTTGTGATTAATATCGATATTGTTATTTTTTATACATTTTGTTTATGTTTTTTTGGTATTCACAGATATATATAAATAAATAAATATGCACCATTTTTCTGTTGTATTTGTGGTTTTTATTGGAAATTAATTTTTGCTACTTCAGTGATCATTGTTTCTCATGTAGGGATTACAGTACGGAAATGACTTGAAATGTGGAAACATGTGTATGTGTACAGGGTATCTACGGGATGATACATCACAAAATTTAGTTAGTCATAATTTATTAGTTGTATAAAGGTATTTGTCCGTACTGTGAAGGGTACTTCTTTCTGGAAAGGAAATTTGATTAAAAGTGATCTTGTCGACCTAGGAAGAATGAATCAGTGTCCAAGGAGAAAAAATGCTTATTACTGGTTATACATGGTCTTTTTATCACTAACTTAAATTATTGTTGATTCATCAATTATGTTTTGAGTGTAAGTGACTGAAGTGGGTAAAACATTATTGCATTACAATAGACGATTTATCCGCAGTGGTTTGGGAGAACTACAAGTTCGTTAGTTTGATGTTCATGAATTAATTTTTGAAACTATTGATTGCTAAAGTCGATTCACGAATTTAATAAGATATTTTCCTGTGCTATAGAAATATTCTACTCGCTGTTTATGTGAAAATTTGAACGAAGCATCTTAGTAGGTCACTTATGTGTGCCTTTTATATACGAATTCTTCTACTTTTGCAAAACTGAACTTACATATCATATTTGTTGTTTCTGTGACACAAGATCTTTATGTGTGAATAATTATCTGAAGACAGTAACATACCTGACGGAAAGGTAGAAACATGGAACGTAATGTTAATGCATTAGGAAACCACATAAAAATATAAACTGAAGTATAACTAAATCAATTCACTCGAACTCATTTAGGTAACGACTAAGCTTTCGTTATGTTGCTTTATTTACTAGTATGATTGTGATAATTTGAACTAACGAATCTGTGAACAAAGTTTTGTTTTACCACCAAACAAACCAGCTTAGCCATCGTCAAAAAATGCTGTATTTTAAGAAATTGCGACTAGAGCAGACAAAGGATCTTCGAAACAGTATTCTTTGATTCTTCGACCGCGTAATACAGTCAAATACGGCCTCCTAAAATTTCAGTATTACGCCTAGATTTTCATTAATGCAGTAACGTCAGATATGTTTGTCTTCTCATCTGTTAGGGTTAGTTACTAACTCGGTCCAGTGCTAACCTAGTTATCATTATTTGCATTACTATGTCATTCGCTGTAGTTTATATAATCCTTTAACAATTGTGAAGACAACTTTCAGTTCTATGAATATTAATTTATGGACTAATAGTAAATAAAATTGCAGATTCGAGCTGATTAACATCATTGAACGAGTTCATTACACCCGTCACCATATCATCGACGGAGCAATTGCTATTAATATATTCCTCCAAATTTGACGCTTTATTGTTACTTCAAAATACTTACTTCGTATTGAACTGGTTAATCGAAACTGTCTTTGAATAGTATGTCTATCACTTCAAAAGCTTGGGTCTACTGAATATGAGAAGTATTCAAATTTCATTTCGTTATAGCTGCGAGTTCACATTTCTTATGGAAAAAAAAATTTGTATTGTTTCCCAGGAAATTCTATCAGTGAATAAATTTCACGAAGCGTAAAGCTGACAATCCAGGCTTCCCCATATGTACTTCCTGATTCAAATCTTTGATACTATTTCGCATTCTCCTAATACTAACTATACTCTCACGTGCCTTACAAAATTGGGTAAGAAAAGATGACACTACAGTCGGTCAGCCTAGAACTTCGGCTTGCTTGTCTAAAACATCACAATAATGTCTCAGCATCTTTCATACGTGTCGCCATTAACAATCAATATTAGGTGACCCGTCAATCAATCCGTAAACCATCACTTTCGTTTTTTCATTTTAAATTCGCGACGGAAAATTCAGTCAAAAAGCAGAGATGCTTAGTCTATCGTACGTACGTTTCTAAGCATCCGAATCACTTACTAGAAGTGGAAGCAATTTAACGAACTAGAAAACAACTTTCTGCATTCGACTGTCCATTCAGTAATTGTCATAAAGTATATAAACCATTCGCAATATTTTTTAGAATCCTCATCTGTATTGGATTACTTTATTTGATGTATTTGGTTGGACGTTTTGTCTCATACAATGTACAAGGCCGTTTCAGTTACAATCCATATTTCGTCAAAACTTGAGGATGTTACAGTATTCATTAGTATGTATCAAGTAATCGGCGGATTAATCATGAGACGAAACAACTAGGAAGGCACCAACAATTCAAACAACCCACTATGAGTTAAGTTATTTCCTTTCAGATTGTTCCACATCTACGTATAAGCTACCCAGTTTACACCTGTTGACATTATTATCCTTCGTAATATCTGAATAAATTGATATAAGTAGCCAATTTTTTTACCCATACCATAGTTTATCAAAGCGGTACACACAAAAATGGGTTGAATCAACTAATTGGTAGGTGGAATACTACGTTGAAAAAGAGAACTTTCATATCCGGAAAATTATATAACACTAATAATAATGAACATAATACATAAAACTGAAATAGTGATTATACAATAGGGGACCCACATATAAGTTGAATAAACCAACAAACTTTAAGGAAAAAACGGATCATTATCAATATAAAATCACAAGAACCAAATAATGAATAAGGAGACAATAATATTGAAAAAATAAAACATAACTACGAAGGAAAATAATAATGTTACATATGACAGCATTACTACACAATTGAAGAGATATTGTAAATGAGAAAAGGATATTTGTTAAATTAGAGTAGATTAATTTATTTAAGAGGCACTTCACAATAGTTCTGATAGTCTATATTATCACAAAACGATGTGAGTCACAATTCACAACAAATAAACATGCAAAAAATTTCCAATAAAAAAAAAGAAGAGGGAATATATTTTCAAATTAAAACCACAGATTGTTTATCACATTGTATATGTACTGGAAAAACAATTGACTAAGAGATGTGATTCTTGATAAACCGAATTGATAAAAGCCATTTCTTTTCTAATTTAACAAAACAAATGTACTAATTACGAATTTTGATTTGTAGAAAGATTGAGACCTAAGAAGAGAAACAAATGAAAATTGAGAAACATGTACTAAATAATTTTTATATTAATTTGTATGTAAGTTTGATTGATAGTGCTCATGAAGTGGATGGAAATAGATCATTCAGTGTTCTTTATTACATCATATTCTTTGATGCAACAAATACTGAAGAGATTCGAATAAATAACCCAACTTTTTGTTTACCAAAAAATAACATTTTCAATATCTTATATTCTTTTATTGCCAAGAAGGACTAAGTGAAGAAGTTTATGTACCTTGAATGTTTACCCATCGTTTCCACAACAAATAGGATTGTTATTTAGGAGAGGATTGATGACTTAAAAATAAATATTTGAAACTCAATACGATTAATCTTGGAATCGAAGAGATGTCGTGAATCTCCGTTAAACCTGAAAGCAGAATTTATCTATAATTCTCCAATGAGTTGGCAGTTATTTATCACTCGATTGTGACTGCTAAATTGATGTTGTGATCGGGCTTCCACATCGCGGTGATCCAACTGTACCATATAACCTGAAACAGTTGTTCTTTTAGATCCTACCGTGACAATCACGTCGGTTGGAGAATTGGCAAAACCCAAAGCAAAAAACTCGTGGACTGAGGGCGAAGTCATACTGATGGCTGTACTGGGGTGTTGTGGCAGTAAGATGCTCCCTCGAAGAAAACTTCACCTACAGAAATGCCCCCATCTTACAACGGAAGGAGAGGGTTAGAGAAAGTCGGTCTTAAAAATAACTTACCCTATGAACTTCCAAGGCTGGTTGTATCGTCTTTAAAACGAAGAGCTAACACAGCAGAACTGAGAAAAAAATATACTGCGACCAACATCAAACAGTAGACCCTTGGACACTATGGTCACATTTCAAAGTTATCAAAAGCACTCCATACCCGATTTCCTATTAAGGTTCCTCAAGGGGCATCCTTCAAGGTGTAAGAAACCAGGAAATTGTAAACAGCTTTATATCTCCGCACTTAAAAACACCTCATCCGCAAGTGGCGTTAACCAAACTACTATGAACGTGAATCAATTTTCCTGCGACGCGCACCTCTTAACTTCTACTCACCGAAAATGTTCATGATAATACTTTGAAGTAAACAATAACAATACTTTCATACACTTAGTTCCCCTGGTGAAGTTGGTAAGACAAAAACAACAATCACTAAGCGCTGAAATAAATTTACTTTATATAGCTTGTTGTTCTGCCTTTAAAAAATAAATGAAAATAATAGAAGATAATAGTAAAATATTGGAGTGCGATTGCATAATGTGTCACCGCTATTACTATTGTTGTTTACCGAAAAATAATAATCAGTATGTATCATATTATAAATTTTACTTTGACTAAACATATAACTATGATCGATATGAGAATAAATTAAACAAATATGCACTTATGCTGAATTTCAAAACACATAAATCCCAGTTATTTAACATATCTTTTAGAATTCGAACATTATTACTCCGCTCGCAGCTCTTCTAATGTTACTGCCAGTTCCAAACCTGAATAAAGGAGAAGGGTTGTGCATGGGGCGGCAACCACATCCTGTAGAAAAAAACCTTGCTAAAAAACGCCAACCAGATTAAATTTAAACTCTCCCCTGGAAGTTGAAGGAAGAATTATAACGCCTCATGATGAAAGCCAAGGTTCTTCGAAAGTCACAAGGCCGATTACCCTTCTAACGACTAGAAAAACAATTTTTATAGGTACATGGAATGCTCGGACAATGTGGGAGACCGGGAGGACTAGTCAAATAGCAACGGAAATGAGGAGATACAACTTGGAAATGTTTGAAATCAGCGAAACCCATTAGATACAAGCTGGACAATAAAAGATAAGTACGGAAGAGATGCCGTTGTACTTCGGTCACGAAGAGGAAAATGCTCCCCACACTCAGGTAGTTGTTCTGATGCTGTCCAAAGAAGCACGAAATGCAATTATCGGATGGGAATCTCATGGATCCAGGATCATCAAAGCATCCTTCAAAACAAAGAAGGAGGG